GACAAGTTTTCTAAACAAGCCTGGGGGGAATGAAGAGAGCAGGAAGCCGAGATAAAAGCTGTGATGTGCTGTAACGTGACCAGAGGACATGGAGTCCCCAAGCATCTCCAAGCGGCAAAGAAGTGCTCTTTGAAAACTGGCCCTCCTGAGCCCTGTTCCTGAAGGGCTCCTAAAAAAGTGGATTTGCTCAAGCTGGAGCGTTTGGCCATGGCTGCTCCGTCTCCTAAACACGGCTGGGAGCGTGGAGTCCATCTGTTACATCTGGCCACGCTTCCCACTTGGCTATATGGCACAGAAACCCAAGTATTCCAGCCTGGCCTATAAAATCCAGTTTGCACATGCCTTGTCCAGAAGCAACACTAGTAAAGTACCAATTTTCTCCAGGAATGCTGGTCATTCCCCTATGGCTTGCTCTGCTACTGAGAGGCAGTAGGCAGGTGACTGAATTATTAATATTGAGCAGAAGAGCATAGTTCTCCTGGGCAGTTGCTGTGTGCATAACCAATTTCTTTTGTGCTTTACCTTCAGTTACGAGAGCTGAAGCTAAAGAGCGTGCTGGGAAACAGAATTTCAATGGGAAAATTGCTAGAAAACTCTTCCTGTAAACAGCGGTGCCAAATGGCTTTTCTTAAATAATTCCCATTGCCCTGAAGTGATGCCCAGCACCAGCTGAACTCCAGGAGAATTACGCTCCTCTTAGCAGAAGTGGGGAATTACTGGCTTGGCACACGGCCTGAGCACCGGATTTACTCTGGAACTGGCAGCGGTAACCACTCGATTGAAGACCTTTGGTTAGGCTGCAAACGTACCCTCTTGATGAGATGCATTTGAGACATGCTGGAAACTGAATGTATTTTAGCATGCAGGCGTCTTCACCAAGCAGGTGAAGAGTCCAGGTTCTTGCAGCAGTTGATCTTGCTCTTAGGAAAGCCGCTCAGCAGGTTGGAAAGCAAAACAGAGCCACTGCCTTCAGTCCAGTTATGAAATTAAATGGCAGTTACAGTTCTGGAGGTGCAGAACTCAAGCTATTTTATGTAATAGCTGTGGACATACACACAGAGAAGCTAACACAAATACTTTTTTCTTCCTAGGAGCTCCAGCAGCTTAGCAAGCAATACAGCAACATCAGGCTCCTCCAACTGGGTGAGTAAAGGGCTTAAGTAGAAGTATGTTCAACCAGGTCAGGTGAGTGCATCTTAAAGCTCTGCTCTCCTGCATGATCTGTAGCTGTGCATGACCTCCAGCAGCTGAAAAGATCAATAACTTCACCTTCATCTTGAGATAACACTGGGGAAACATAATCTGTGTAAATTTTCTGCATGTAGTCTCCATCTCTGTGTGCTGCCTGAATGTCCCCATTCAGACTGTCTTAACTTTGGTTTAGCATGTGCTGTATAGTGCTAGACAGCATTTGAACCATTACTCAGTCTTCACTGTAGCTGTTCTTGGCTCCTCTGTGCAGATGTGGTCTGTGAAAACAGCATCAAGAAAGTAGTCAAGGAAGTGGAAGAAATTGTGGGAGACAAAGGTCTGAACTGCCTCATTAACAACGCGGGCATTAACGTGCTTGCTTCCTTGGAAGAAGTCACAGCAGAGACGATGCTCACCATTTATGAAACCAATACAGTTGCCCAGCTGATGGTCACTAAGGTAAGAAACGGAGAGAAATGCTTCATCTATGGTACTGTAGAAGCTCTGCCACTAGTGAGCTGGACATGTAATGCAGCAATGACCGTCTGTCCAGGATCTTTATTTAAATCCACTTTGCTGGTGGCATAGAGTTGCACTGCAATTCTTCACAGAGCAGAACTCGAGAGTCCGGCTTGCCTTGAACAGGCCAAGAGCAAGATGACCAAATTAAAACAACCTCTTGTTTTTACAGGCTTTTCTACCCCTTCTGAGGAAGGCAGCCCAGCTGGGCACAGGAATGGGCTGCCACAGAGCTGCTATTATTAATATGTCCTCTCTCGCTGCCTCCATGCAACTTGTCCAGGCAAATGAGATGTTTCTCAAGGTCTACCCCTACAGGATAGCAAAGGTTTGTATGATTCCCTGGGCTGTGCTTGCTGGGTGAGAGCAGGTCTGTGAGTTAAGGGCCACCCTGTTCTTAAGATGATGATGTGAGGTGTGCAGCACTTCCTGGGTAGGCTGACACAGGAGCTGTTCTTGTTCTTAATGTGGGTGGAAGTGGGGCTTGTGAAAACGGTACATCTGGAGCAAGCACGCCAGCTTCTTAAGAGCAAGCTTACACACATGCTCTATCACTACACGGGTACAGATTCATTTCAGAGGGACTTGGTATTCAGGGAAGAACTATGCCATCAAATGTGTGTCCTATTTTCTGTGCACCTCTCCATCCAAAGCAAGGTAGCAGACATGGAAAAACAAAACAAAACAAAAGGTGTACTGACCTGTACGTTTAGTGAGGGGTGGAGTTTTTAGTTTTGTCACATCCAGAGACTGAGTTTATATGAATTGTCAAGATCAAACGTACAGTTTCTCCTACACCACCTACTCATAAGCTGTTAACATGCTTGTTTTCCCTGATCAGAAGTAAAAAGCTGAATGTTTGTGTTGTGATTGTTGCAGAAAAACAGAGTCCTTATGTCAAGATTATTTTTCTACAGCTCCTTAGGACTTTCAAATGTTACTTTATCTTCCATCATAACTTAGTTTCATCTTTGGGCAGTAAGCTTACGATGACAGAGCTTTCATAATGCTTCTCTTATAGACATTTCTGAGGTTGAAGGCCCCACTAAGTCTGGATAAGTTACCATGACTGCTACTGCCACTCAATTTTTCAGGAGACATCTTGGTGGAAGGGAGGTGCTTAGCTTGGCTTAAGGTCTTACTGAAGGTTTGTAAACACTACGTGCTAATAGATGGTTTCCACTCCTCTAGACTGCACTGAACATGATCACCAGGTGTCTTGCTGCGGACTTGAAGTCGGATGGAATTCTCTGTATTTCTTTGCATCCAGGCTGGGTTCAGACAGACATGGGCGGAAACATGGTTAGTGACATCTCTCTGTAAACATGAAAGCATGATTCCCTTGTTGTCCCAAACCCTGACCAACAACCTTCTGTACAGTATACACTTCCATGTGTTGCAGAGGCACACTATGCAACATGAAATACAACTGATTTGATCCTAGTAACTCTTACCTGCATTTGATTGTATTCTGATTGTATTCTCATTAATAAATCAATCCTGATTTGCTTTCCAGGCTCCTTTGCAGGTGCAAGAGACTATCCCAAGTATTCTCTCCGTTCTGGACCGTCTTGGTGAAAAAGATAATGGCTCCTTCCTGGACTGGCAAGGGGAAACTCTACCATGGTAGATGTGCACAGTGTACTACAGAAACAGCATGTCAGTCACTATTCAACTTATGCCACTAATGTCTTTGTCTCCAGGGTTTTCTTATGTGCTAGTTGAAACATCCAGTCTGATATCCATCCTCTCTCTAGGTGTATTTGGAAAGGCTTGACTCTTCCTTGGTATTGCTACTGCTCTGTTTTAATGCTTCCTGCAAATGCTACTGTGTTCTTAGCGATGGGTCTCTCCTGGAACCACCTAAAATAGATTTAAAAACTGCAAGTTAAATCCAGGGGTTGGTTCCTCTTTGCTTCCAGAACCATAGCGAGCCTCTCTCTCAGCAGAAGTCACTGATCTGCCCTCAGGCCTGACCTGACATTACAGGCTATCGGATTCCAGTATGTTCAATTTGCTGGAGGCACGTCTCTGGAAAAGGTCCTCCGGTTTCGTCCAGTCCTAAATGAGCCAAGGCTGAAATTGCCCAGTCCTGAACTACGTGAATTTGGTACCTCTGTAAGCTCCTCAGCAGCTTCCAAGCATCTCCAGGCTGCTTGCACCAGGCACTTGCTTTGTTCCCAGTGCGTGACTAACATCCTGATATTGGGGTGGGAATGTGGTTTTGTATATAAACTTCTGAAGTGTCTTCAATAAAGTCTTGTTTAAACAGATTACCTGTTTACTGAGCTACTTCAGTTAATTCCTCTGCATGTAGGTCTCTCTTCCCTGACCAGAGATCTGCGCTTTCAGGCAGAAAGTCTAACCATTGCTGTCTCCTTCAGGCTAGATGGGTTTAATGTGGGGGAGCACACCTGAGACTGAGGCAGCCCCTCATTCTGGTCTGAAATCCCGAAAGCAGCTGGTGAAAAGATCTCTGTGTTCTGGCTGAGGTAGGGATGAAAGCAACAAGTTCTTTGAAGTCTGGGATTGGCTTCAGCATCACTCCTTCATGCCAGCTGATTACGTGCTTTCATGCTGTGCCAAGATGGCAGGTTCTTGTGCCCAGAGAAGACAAACAAGAGCGAGGTAAGTGGGAGAGGCAGGCGTGGCCATTCCTGGACAGCAGCCACCCTCAGATGCATCTCAGGGTGTGTAGGGGAGAGGTGTCTGGCCTCATCTCCCCATCCCTGTGGTGACAGGGACACAAAGCCTCCCTGTAACAGCTCATAGTTACCTCCTGCTCTGACCTATTTCTAGCAAGGTGTGCTGTCCCCAGGCAGGTGAGCGAAGCATCATGTTCTCCCCTCACCTGAGAGCCACCGATTTCCCTCAGAGCGTGACTGTATGGTGAGCACAAACAGCTCAGTTTGGAGGCTGCTGCTTAGTTTGAACCAAACCTCAGAAGAGGAGCTGGCGTGCCTCCTGCGGGCAGGAGACAGTGCGGAGGGGACGGCTGAGGGGAAGGGGACAATTGGAGGGAAAGGGACAACTGAGGGGAAGGAGAGTGCTTGTTTGCAACTGCCTTCGGTCAGAACCATCACAAATGCTTTTTATTCCGGGAGCCGAGCGCCCTGGACATCCAGTACACGCTCACTTTCCCTCTAAAGCCCCACAGCCGCCATTTCCCTGGGATCCCCTCACGAACCCCCGGCGGGCGCCATCAGGGGGCGCTGCCGCGGCCGGCCCCGGAACTTCCGAGGCGGCAGCGGGCGGGGATGGTGAGTGATGGCGGCCCGGGGCTGGCCCGGGGACCGGGACCCGGTACCCGGTACCGTGGAGCCCGGTGTGAGCCGAGCCCCGGCCCCGGGGGCTGTGGAGGGCAGGCTGCCCGGGGGGCTGCGGATCCCTTCCTCACAGCCGCAGGGCAGCGGGCGCCTGCGGTGCGCTCCTGGTTTGTGCCGTGGGAGCAGCGCCTTGGCGCTGAGGTGGAAGCGGGGCTGGAGTTGCCTGATTTTTGCAAGCTGAAATAGCAGGGGTTTGGGTTAAAAACACGGGAAATCGGCAATATGGGTGCTTGGGGGTCGGGGCCCTCCGGCAGAATCCAGTAAGGCGTTGGTAAAGCAGGGGGTGCACAGAGGGCCTCAGCTCGTCTGCTGGGGCTGTGGGGTTAAATTTCAAAATTTTACTTAAAAAATTGAGAACTTTAGTCACGAAATTAAGTTTTCAAAGTTAAGTTTTCAAAGTGTGAGGAAAACACGCTCGCTTCATTGAATAAACGTTCTTGTTTTGGCAGTCATTACTGGGGCTGACAGAGCGGCTGAAGTGAAAAAAAAATGTTAATATCCCAGCTGACATCCAGGTTACTGAAGGCTTCCCGAGTTGCAGGTAAATGGGCTGTGCAGCCTGGCGTTTGGATTGTTTTTTTGGGGTAATTGGGCTCCCAGAAAGTTATTTTCCTGCAAGTGGGGCAGGAGTGGTGAGGCTGTTGGTTGAGTCAAGGGGTTGTGGTGTTCCTACTTCTGTGCCTGTTCTGTCAGGGTTGTGTAGCTCTCATTTTACTTCTGTTAAGCTTAGGAGGATGATTCTTGGCAGCAGAAAAGCTTAATACAGAGAACAGGTCCCAGCCGTTCTGAATTGCACTTACACTACACAGTAAAATATCGTACAATGTAATTCTAGCAGATGTAATGTAGTTAAGTCAAATTAAAAAGTGCTTTCTTGCTTTTATGATGGGAATTTAATTGTTTGTAAGTAGCTCCCTTTATTATGTTATTTTGGTTGTAATTGTTTGGTAGTTCTAGAGCTGGGCAGAGCTTTTGTTGAAGTGTTTCTAGAAAGTTCTGCCTCCTAAGTGAAATTCTTTTCTCTCAAAGGCCACCTTTTGCCAAGGTCAGTGTCTTCCTTTCTTTGCTATCATTCAACATCTGTGAACTATAGCACGCAGCCCTCTAATAAGAATGGAGCCCAGCCTCAGCGGTGGCATGCACTGGACCCTGAACTGGAAGAGATGCTGGTCCCCAGAAAACTCTCCATCAGCCCCTTAGAAAGCTGGCTGACAGTTAGGTACTCCCTTCCTAAAGCAGAAGTCGTTAATGCTCAGGAAGAAGCAGGCTATGAACCTCTCCAGAAATATGACTGTCCCCCATCTGCTGAGGGAGCTGATGTGGAGGAAGGGGAAGGAACACCCAGCAGCACGGTTCAGTGCAAGAACGTGCTGGAAATTCGCAGAAGGAAAATGAATCGACACAAGTTCAGAAAGCTGCTAAAGCGAAGGAAGTTTATACGGAGGAGGATAAAAGAAGGTCGCAAGAAGAAACGTCAGGTAAGCTTCGATTGAAGAAAACATCTTAATTTAAATGAACACCCTTCTCAAACTGCTTTCTGTTCAGGTATTGGATGATGTTCTTAGGTGGAATTGAATTATAGAGAAGTGGCATCAGCTCCGAGAAATGTAGCTTAAGTTAATTCCGTATTTACTGGTCCAGGAGCATTTCCTGATTTGCTGGTTTTTGTTTTACCTGTACGTCCTCAAAATCTATAATTTAGAATATTTCCATGCTGGTAAGCAGATGTGTGAATAACTCAGAAATATCTCTGGCTAATGGGAGAAGAACTTTTGCGTTTGTGTGAAAGATTAATTTATGTGGTTGTATTATATCAGGAAGTCTGGTTTAATCTCAGCTGCCTAGATAAAAGCATTTAATTTTTGCGCATAGGTTCTCTTTGGGACACTTGGGCGATGACTGATTACTTGAGTGCTGCATCTGAGCCATTACCATTCTCTCTCTTTTTCCTCTGTTTTAGGTAAAATTTGAGAAAGACTTGGAGCGCATCTGGAAAAGAGCTGGTTTGAAAAATCCTCCAGCAGGATGGCAGACACCCAAGATATTTCTGAAAAGTTCAAAGCGATAAAAACACTTGTAATGAGTTTTCACGTGTAATTGTAATTAAAAATACATATATATACGTAAGCAGACTTCTTTTAACCTTTTTCTGAGTGCGTTAGGATTAGTAGGAGGTTGCTTTGAGTCTTGATGAATGGTTTTCCAACGGCAAACCTGACAGCAGTGTGCTTTTCCTCCCCAGGAGAATGGTGAGAACCCTTGTGCGGTGGCTTGGCAGCGCTGTGTGCAGTCCAGTGCTGCTGCTGCCAGCTGTACTGAGCAAAGACATCTTAGTCCGCAGCTGAATTTGTGAAGTTGCTCTTTAGGATTAGACTGAGTAGTGCACTGTTAAAAACAATTGGTTGTGGGAGAGGCAGTAAGTGAAAGACCTCTTCTAATTGTTAGTGTAGCCCTAAAGGACACCAGCAGTTTGAAAAATTCTTTTCAAGTGGCGTTCTTTTGTAGGCTTGCTGAAGAAGGGCTGATGCTTGTAAGTGAAATGGGAGTTGGATCAGAATCCCATAAAATATTTCTGCAAAAGAGTTACCCGATACCTCTGCGTGCATGTGTTTTATGGACATTGCATGAGCATCCTTAAAAGGCAAATTTATTTTTTCTGTTCTGTAGTCCCTAATAAAAAAAAGAGTTATTTTTCTACGACTGACCCCTGTCATACAGAACATCCAGGTATTGCTATCAGTAAAAGTTCAATGCTCGTTTCTGAGTAATTACCAAAACTGCTCTGTACCTGAGATAACCCGGTTGTGATCAGCTGTTTTGACATGTCTGAAAGGAGCCATGACATCTGGGAAAAATATAGATGTTTATTTTAAACCCTGTCAGGGGGCTTCGTATCTTACTTCTGTGTTGGATTCTGCTTTTGATGTGTTTTTTTTTGGGGGACAGTTAACTTGTGTTCTGTGCGATTGAGTTTTTCCCTGCCCCTGGTTAGATGAAGCTCACTGGGCTCTGAGAGAAAGGAAGGAAAAATGAATTCCGTGGGCTCTTCATCCTGCAGCATGCAGAGGAGCAAACTTGAAAATTTATTCCCTTTTATCTGCTAGGAGCAGGACACCTGGCTAAACTGAAAGGGAAGAAAAACTGTTTGATGCAATTTATTGCGATGAGGTGAAGTTTAATCTCACCGTGAAAGGACAGATGGCACACTGAACGTTTCTGGGGCTTTCTGCTGTTCTTGTCGCTAGATGGCAGTAAATCAAAGCCTCTGAAACTCCTTTAGCAACTCTTGGCAGAAGCCAGCTGGATCTTTCTGTAGGTATTTTAAGGAGAGGGGGCATGCATGTTTAAAAATTGATTAATCTTGCTAGAAAACTACTGGCATTCTGAAAACTGTACTGGAGTCCTATAGAAACATGTGGCTAGCAGATTTTTACAGATTTTTTTTCCAAGCTATATGTTAACAGCAGGCGATTTTGATCAAAGACTTAAAAAGATGTTCCTTCCTCCTCGTGCTTTAAATAGGCTGCAGTTGCTTTTAACCAAGAGCAGTAGGACTCTCAGCTTACTGCCAGGATTTCAGGGAAGAGGAGAAAGCAGTGCACCTTCAAAACTCCCCAGGCAAAGAAGATGGAGTGTTGGTTCTGGCTTACAGGTTTGTAAGATATGCAGAGTGTTTCTAAAATACCAGTACACATTCCCTGCTCAGAGGTGCATCAAGAAAGGCTGGGGCATGATCTTCTGGTGCTCATTAACTATGGTGATGATTATATTATAATAGGGTGCTTCTGTGGTGAATTGCAAGTCTCCTCTAAGTAGTTTATTAAATGGCATTCTCTCTAAGTAATAGTCCAGTCCTCCAAATGGTAGTCTGCCAAGTGTAGCCACTGCTTTTATATATCTATTAGATGTAATTACACAACCACGCAGAGAAGTCTGGAGCTACTGTGTAGTTTAGAAAAGTGTCTGTAACTTCCAGCCGTGATTTACTGCCAGCCTTAATCATAGAAATGCTGTTTTCCCTTTTGCTGAAGGATGTCAAAGCACGTCTCAGGATTTGTATTTTCATGTGGCAGATCCTGCAAAGACCCTGTTGTACGTGGAACTAACCAGGTACTGTACACCGGGGTTGTATCAGCGTGCTTGAGCTCTCTGTGACCACAGGATGCAATTACCAAATCTCACTTCACTGAACAGGGGGAGTCAGAGAGGAGGAAGCTGTGCCTTTTTTTTCTGTAGGGGGAGCAGTAGCGCAGAGTATGCTGCTCACAAAGCTTTGTTAGGAGTTGCTGATGAAATATGTGCCTACTTGCACGCTTACCAGTGTATACATGTATGTGCCTACGTAGCTATGGTAAAAAAAAAAAAAAAAAGGCCTTAAACAGGAAAGACTTGACTTACCATTGTCAACATGTTTTAAGGCTCCTTCATCTCCTTATTACTCTGCTGTTCTGAGAGGAAGTGTTTGAAAGTCAGCAGCAGGTTGCTGGAGGAATTTGTGCTCTGCGTTAGAGAGTGGAGATACCCAGTGGGTATGGTGATTTTATGTTTGAAACTGCCTGACAGTTACTGGTCTGGGCAGATCCCTTGAAATTGGAATATGAAACCAATTACGCTCGTACTTACACTCCCTAATTCTTGGATTGCATGCACTTAAGGACAGGCAGCGAGCTCAGTTAGCTGAGCACAACGTCCAGCTTGGTAGTTGTATCGCAGCAATCGGGGCTGTGCTGAGATGAGTTGGCTCTAACGTAGGAAGTCAGCTCGTTTCAGCAGGGCCGAAAGTTCTGAATTTTATTTTTCCTAGCCAAAGCATCACGCTGAAAATTTAAGCAGGCAATGTCCTCCCTTTTGGAAAGGGCAAAACCAAAACCCAGCAACGTGATGATGCTAGCAGGCTTCCAACACATGTGTGGCAGAAATGCCATCTCCTGGTAGTGTGAGCAAATGAAGGGCACTGGAAAACTAGATTTTAGTTGTCTCCTTGACCTGGATGGTAAGTTTTCTCACTAGGGTGGGAATTAAATACATTTTAAGGAGCCTTCTCTGGAAAATGCATTGTTCAGTTGCATCAGTATGAATTCCTGACGTTTTTCAGATGTTTCTGGACATTAACAGCTCTTTCATCCACACAAATGAATTCAGTATAAGTTAGGAATAGCAAGCAGTGAGGTTTTTATCTAACCATGCTCAGCCTTCTGAGCGCACCGGAATTATGCCAATTTTCACAGCTGAGGCTTGATTAGTCAGGCTGGGACCTGCTAGCCCGATGTTTATGGGTATCTGACAGACAAAACCCCTTTCAGGGAGTGAAGAGCACTTTGCTCCTGCTGTTCCCTAACCGCCTGAGGTTGCCTGGTTATTGCTGAGCAGAAGCAGTGTCTTCGCTCCGGTGAGCTAACACCAAAGTTCGATGGGACGCTGTCAAAACATTACCTAGGATAAATTGATGTATGTACCTTGGCTTCAGTAACTGACCTGGTCCTTTTCAAAACACGAGGCCAGCTCTGTTTTAGTGGGTGTGAACCCCAGTCCCTGTCTTCCAAAGATAATAAAGCCCGCGTGTTTATTCTAGCTGAAAATCTGGCTGAAGTAATCTCACTGATCTTGCAAACAGCACCTGTGGATAAGTAAAACTACCTCTTTTCTTTTCACCATTCATGCTGTTCTGCTGTTGGCATTTCTGCTCAGACTGCGAAAACATCCTGCTTTGGGTTCACTTCAGCCGAGTCTGCTCAGCTGCCCTCCAAAAATAACAGCACTCTGTGCTTCACCTGCAGCCCTGAGCTTTGCAGAACTGAAATGGTTCTGAAGATTGGGTTCTCCCATTCCCGCTGATTTAAAAAAAATAAAATAATTCAGTAACTGCAGCTGTTGTAGACATCTGAGCTAGCTTTACGCAAACAGCGTGCTGGCTTTCCTGTGGAGGCGGCCCTTCTTGCTTGTCTTTCCCTGTAAAGGAGAACTGAAAGAAGGAGTTGTGTGAGTCAGAGAATTTAAGAACATCTTCTGATACGGCACTTGTGGCAATTCCCTGAAATAAGGCTGAGTTTTGTAGTCTTGCTCACTGCGTGGTCACCAACACATCTTCCCTGCGCTGTGCTTATTCCCACAAAACTTGTAAGAGCTATAAAATGATGAGACTTGCTCCCTTCTCTCAAATGTAGCCGAGGTTGGCTGCTCAAAATAACAGGAGGGAGGAGAGGAGGTTGAATGGACAGTGAGATCTGCACTCATGGAACTGCAGGTGCCATGCTTCCCTAGGAAACGTGGCTAAAATCTTGTATAAAATAAAAACATCCCATTAAATATTGCTCAAAAACAATTAATGGTTGTTTTTCCACTTGTTCAACAAGCAAGACTTGGAGCAGATCAGTGCTCTTGAGCTGAAGGAGTGTCATTGCCTGCGGTGTGTCTAGGTCTGGAGAGGATTTGACGCTCTGGGAGCCTCTTAGCTGCTGCCACCCGTTTGGAGTCCCACAGCTGCTTGCAGATTGCTGTTAAGACAAGGGCATTGAGTCCTGAGCAAGGAATCAGCACATCAGGTACAAATTCCAAACTATTATATATTTTTTCAGGTTTACTTGAAGGGAATTAACAGTTGATATCAGGGTGCTTATCACCAGCCAGTGAGGAACTGGTTAAATATGAAGAATAAGCAGTTAGAGGAGAGTGTGCCAAAACAAAAACTACTAAAAGAGGCTACAACAGTTGGAGTCAGCAGTGTGACGGTGTGTCAGCAGCACTACGTTACTCACCAGCTCTGCTCCCTGGGTGCTTTTGAGCTGTTTCCTCTCCTGACAAAGGGTTTTTGCTGCTCGAGGCAGCTGCTCAGCCCTTGATGGGGCAGCCAGCTGGAGGCTGTTCAGCAGCAGCAGCACCAGGTCCATCCTGAAGTCAGGATCTCTGCTTGCTCACCCAGGATGAGTCGGCCTTGGTTTGGCTTCCCTGCCCGTTCATATTGTTTCAGTTACTGCCCAGAAGATGCTGATGCACGTTGTTGGTTCTTTTTTTAGGTCTGAGTGAGCACCCTCTGGAGAAACTCGGTGCCTGATCCTGCTGTCTGTGTGATGTGGGGGAACGAGGCGTGTTGTCAGCATCCTGCCATCTCTCCGAGGTTGTGCTGTAGGCCCGTTGGAAGGTAGGACCGAGCTAAACGTGGCCTACTTTCTGATAACATCGTCCATTCCTTGGGGAAAGGAAGAGTGTTGTAGCCCTCGGAAAGACAGGAAAGCCTTTCCCTCACGAGTAATTTATGCAAAGCCCTGGGACTGTGAGAAGGAAGGAAGCAGAAGAAAGAACAATTTAATTATCTCTGCCTTGGGTGCAACACCTTTTCTGGGTGATTTCTAATGATGAAGTGGGGCTGGGGAGGAGAAAGGAGAGCAAATAAAAATAAGTTTGTAGCTTTCAGAGTGGGGGTGGCTGAACTGAGCCGCTCACCTCTTTACTCCGTTATTCAAGTAAAACCATATTTTATGGAGCCAAGAAGTATCAGAGGAGCAGCCTTCTCTGCTGTGGTTCCATCAGGAGCACCTTGTTATCTGTGCCTGTTAAAGAGCCAAATTTCTCTAAATTGTAGGATTTATGTTTTCCTCACCTAAACCATTCCCTCGGGGCCTGTCTGTTGGAGTTAATTTCAACAGAACCATCACGCAGGGGTATTCTTCCATGACTCCTCAAGCTACTTGGAGAACAGGCAGTTTTTGCAAGAAAAACCAGGCAGAGTTAGGTGGTTTTGAACCATTTTTCATAAATCCTGCTTTCCAGAGGATGCACTGACTGGTGTTAATTTCTGTGTCGCTGGCTTGCTACTCTCTGTTGGTGCTCACGTTTAATGAGGAGGTAAAAAAGCACCCTGGAGCTGTTGGCTGGTCTCATGGGAGGAAAGGACAGGGATGATGTTTATTAGAGTAATAAATCCTCAGAGATTAGAGCACACTGAAAGGTTCCACGTTATACCACGAGTTTAACCGGGATTATTGCACTATTTAAGATTTAATAAGAAAGGAGGCAGGAGTTGCGAGGGCTCCTCTTGTATCTATCGAGAGCAAGTACCCAATTCACACAGAGTACCCCTAAGAGCTGGCCAAGCTCCACGTTTGTGTGCCTAAATTTGGCAGCAGGATCACGTTGCAGTACAGAGAGGAACCTCCTCTCAGCTGAAGTGGTTTTATTTTAAACAAAATGGCCTGCAAAGCCGAGGTAAATAACACAACTCTCTGGGAAGCGACCTTCGAGTGCCCTTTTTGGAGCCAACCTATTAATTTTTCCACTCTTTCCCAGTCATTTCTGATCTCAGAATAGGCTGCTGTGCCTGGAATTGCACTGCTTCATTATTCTAGGCGGGCACAGCAGCTGGGCTGCAATTAGTGTGGGGAACGGAGTTCTCCTTCAGAAGCTCACGGTCCCAAAATGCTGTTCCCACGTGGAGGGACTGCAAGATGTGGTCGGAGGCACAACGCTGGTGGTCAGAAAGGGGACACAAAGTGGCATCTCTCAGCTACAGGGCTCTTCCCTGAGCACTTTCAGAACTTTTTGGTTCTTCGTAGAACCGAGCAGTGCTGTGTGCTCGTGTCTGGAGCTTTTCTCCTGTTAGAGAAGCCCACCTTGCTGTTGCCTGAGCAGGAGATTGCTGGAGAGCTGCTCTGGAACAGACTCCGTGCTCAGTCCTCTCCCCTAGCACTGTCGGTGCTGCTTGTGAGCGATCTCTGCTTTTCATTTTGTCCTGGCACAGAAGCCTGGCAGGTTCCTGGTCAGGAGGCCGAGCAGAAACAGGGAGGTAGGCAGTAACAGGGACCGAGTCAGAGCCTGGAAGCGTATCCAAATCTTCCTCCTTGCTTCAGACAGCTTTTAATTTCAGCCCTGGGTCTGCTGCTTGTACCTCCTTGGTAAAGGAGGGCAGAAGCACGGGGCTTCTTGGTGTTGTCTGTCGCCACCAGAGCCTGAGAGCACTGCTTCTCTTTACACAGGAGTGCTACCAAACTGAAAAATGGGACCCAGCTCTGCCTGGTGCCTCTTCTTCCGGAAATTTAGAAACTTCAGGAGCTTTATCTAGCTCAGTAAGGCACAGTGCTGAGGATCAGCTAGGTAGCATGGCACTTTTCTCAGCTGCTGCCTTCTCTCACTTCCCTGCAGACAAACACCCGAGCTGAGTGAAGGCTCTCGGCGGTGACCTGATCCCTCTGCCATTTCCTCCGGACTCCCAGTGCTGCCTTCCTTCGGCCAAATTGGACCAGTGCTGAGCATCTGTCCCCCGGAGGGGGGCTTTGTGGTTTCAGGGCAGGTTTGAAAAAGTGAAGACTCCGCAGAACCACAGCTCCCGTGGGAGTGAGTCAGTCCCGTGTCATGGGTTGGATACCCTCCGTCTCTGGCACTCGGTAGTAAGAAGTTGATTTTGGGTGGAGGATCCAGAAGTTTTGGGGGCGCTCGGATGCGAGTGGTGGCTCAGCAGGGGCCCTGAAAGAATCCCTCTGCTTCCCAGCAGCACATGGTGGCTGGCTGCTGCTGTGAACCTTAGGGGAAGACGAACAGATGCAGAGACATGCACAGAGCCAGCTCCTGAAGTTGTGATTGATGGTAACTCCAAGTCAGATTTGCATATTTTTCCATCCCCTCAGGAACTTCCTGGTTCATGTGATTTTGAGCTAATACCTACTCTTTTTTTGTGTGTTTTTGTGTTTTAATTCCGTGCGTTGAAGGCACTGCTGGCTCTGAGAATCGGCTGGAAGATAGCTGGGTACTTCTTATTTAAAAAATAAATAAATAAATTCCCACTGTGGTGTCATGAAAAAGCCCAGCAGGTAGTAATGACTGCTGCTCTCCCTAGGGAATTAGAGTGCTGCAAAAATCTGAGAGGCAAGAGGGATGCCACAGGCCGTTTTAAAGGTAAAAATCACGTCTCTTTCCTACTGCGTGACGTCTCAGAGTGCTGTGCATCACCAAAGCTTCCCAGAGCTGAAAGAGAGTCAAGAGATTTTGTCTAGCTGCCCTCCAGTCTGCGTCCTTGTCAGCCTTCTGTGCAGCAAGTCCCAAACAGTGCCAGGGTTTTGGAGGCTTCCTGGGAATACAGAGGCAGCACAGTTTAGGGCCTAAGGTACTTCTGGGCTGACGTGCAGCTGCTCTGGGCTTTATTCCTAACCCTGCCACTGATGTGCTGCGTGAGCCTGGCTGAGTCATTTCCTTCTGCGTTGTGTGTCTCGCTGCTGCTCCTGCCTGTTTAGACTGCAGATTTTTCCTACGAGGAGCTGCCCGCGCTGTGCCCCCCAGCCTGCCCTGCAGTGCCAATGAAATGTGGGGCCATCGATTAAAAAAAACCTCGCAAACAGGGAAAGAGGGGGTAGAAAAATACACACGGTGTCCTTCCAGGTTGACATTTTAATTAAAGCAGTCATGGCAAGCTACAATCATGGCAAGCTACTTGAAATTGCTCTTTTTTTTTTTACTCAACTAAAACTAAATAATTTTTATAGAGAACTCATTTGCCAAATTTCCCTTTTTACACGCTATGGCAATGACACTAAATTTAAGATGCTGAGAAAGCAGTAATTTACACCTGCTCTGTGATGTCAGTGGGGCTCTTTGCATCTCCTTGCATCTCATTTCTCTTCTTTGCTTCCAATCCTGATTTGCCTGCTTGCTTGTTCGCCTTGACCATCATGAGATCTGATAATGTTGATGCCTGATGTCTGCAGAAACGCTGGCTATGTGGAATTCTGTTCCTGTGGCTGGCCTGGGTGTAACATCGCAGCCCGTCGTGACTCTCATCGAATGGAACTGCTCCTGCAGCTTCAGTTGGAGGCATGGCTGCAGCGCAGGGGACTGCAGATTAAACCCCAATTAAGGTTTGTGAATTAAATTGAGTTGAAAAGGAAGCAACAGAGGAGATGGAGGCTAGTGCTCAGGTGCTCCCTTGAGTCTTTGCCTGCTGAGATTGAGGGAGTTGTGCTCAAATAGCATTTAAAAAATACAACTCGGTGAAAATGTTAATCTGTTGGGATTGAGTTAATTTAAATCTGAGCCTAACTGCATCTCATTCAGGTGCTTATTTGGAACAGCGTGAAATTTAATGCTGATTCAAAATAACTTTTTACTGTCAAAAAAATGTATTTTTACAGGTTTTTGACAGTGATTTTCACAGGCTATGAATGGCACGGTGCATTTTGTCAATAGGCAAATGTCTTCTGCACCAGAAAAAAACATCTGGTGAAGCAGAGCTGTGTGAGATCAACAGAAAAGGTGAAGGCAGGGAGATTCTGACTGCATCCTCTCCTAATGAGAAGGATAAATAAGTTTTGCTCTTACCTAAAGCTCGCTAGTGGTAGGATTAATGATCAGATAGGTCTTGAAGTGGTTGTGGAACATTTCACAAGGTTTTATGAGGAAGACACTTAGTGGGGGTAAACTGGTGTAGGTCCATGGTAGTTAATAGAAGCGTGCTGATTTGTACCTGCTTAGGTATTTGCCTCTGATGGGTTTTGGGGCACATGAATTTGGCTTTTCTCTCCCTATTGAACCCAGCTTTTTGGATTTCGTGTTGTGGAAGAATTGCCAAAACACGTTTTTATCTTGGAAAAACAATCTTCAGTTTTCAGTCTGGAAAAAAAAATAAAAAAATCTGTTGGTTTCCTGGGCAATTTCTCTGTTTTTGTAACTGGTTCCCATTAATGGTTTTGAGATGAATCCCAGGAATCTGAAGCTGACAGCTTTCCAGCAAAAAGGAGCGTTTAAATATAGTGCCATCCAGAGATGCTAGACGACAGGAGCCGCTGAGCTGTGGGGCCACCTCACAGCCAAAGGTGCAGACAGAGCTCTCGGACCTGTTACCAGGACAGCAGCACTGGAAGAGCACAGAAACACACGGATGCACGCAGACATCCCTCTTCTCAGTAAGAGCAGCCTGCCTGGATGCTGTAGTTTCACTCTTCTGTGCAGGTCTCTGCCTGGCAAAGCGCAAAGCTCAGTGCCTTAAGCAGATTGCCCCCCTCTTAAGATTCCCTCTAACTAAATATCTTACATACCTGGCCAGCTTTTATCGCTGATGCGTGTGCACACATCACATCGATGAATTTGTGCTCCAGCACGTTTGACACGTGGGGAAGGAAGGAGAGCTTTTCAGCTGAGATGAGGAATTGCCTGCAAATGGCAGTCCCCACCAACACTGCTCCTGCACAGCTCTGATTTTGCTCCAGCACTGCTTGGGCGTAGCACAGCAGAGACTACAGCTATGTGGTGGTTTTGTGGGCTTTGTCTTTCTCCTTGCTGGAAATGGGTTGTTCAAGGGGTGTTATTGAGTGAAATCGTTAGCTGCTGTGATATTGTTTTATGTGTATGTAGTAAAAAGACGTCGGAGATCTGCCCTTTGTACTCGGCGTTTGCCCCAGCTGGTGGTTTGGTGACTGCAGCTCAGGCTGGGGATGACAGCGGTCCTCAGCGCAATAAAACAAAGCAGAAAAACATCTGGGCAGCCCCTCGCCTTGTCATCCCCAACAGGCTCTTCAGAGAAGGCAACTCAGGGGCTAGAGCATTTACAGCTGGGGAACAGCGAGCAACCCTTGTGCTGCTGGTTACTTCACTGCGATAATGACAGGCTTCGCTCAGCAGCCCTGTCATTGTGGTCGGCTTTCAGTTTTGTCCTTTTAGTTCACAGCTCTTGCTGCAAGTTGGATTATTCCAGCCTTGCTTATGGGATTCATTGCAGCTGAAAGATTTATTTTCATGAGAAGAGCGTTGCAAGCAAACGAAGCCTCCCGGGAAGTGCATCCCCTCTGGTAATTCATGTGGCTCTGTTGTGTTGCTCTTCTCCAGCAGCCAGGCAGCTCTGAAGGTTTCCCTGGCCTACCCCAGGCCTTTCTTAGAAAGGGGAGCAAACAGGGATGTGTATTTATCCTTCTTTCTGTTCCTGAGCAGAGGTATTCTCTCTTTTCTTTGGTCATGGCAGGGTACAGTGGGTTTCATGCTTGAAGATGATCTTGGTAACATAAACGTGGAATGTGACAGATTATAGTACAAAGCCTGATGTGCACAATTTGTGTCCTTGTGTCAACAGAGCATTAATGCTGGCATTCCCTCCCAATACATTACATGGCTTTATAGCTGTAAAAGTGGGGTGGAGGTGGCTGCTTCCCCTCCTGCTTCCAAGTTTGATGGTTCTCAGCATGATGATAAAAGGACAGAGGGGAACTCTCTGCATCAGGCCTTCTTCCTCTGACTGCTCTCTGATCAGTCTTACAGACCGGTGGTCTTCAGTCCAGGAGGTCTTTCAGTGCAGCCTGCAGCCGTGGAAAAGAGAAATATTGAAATGGAAGAGATCTGGGAGAGCAAACTGCCTGCCAGATGGGGCTTGCTCACTACTGCTTGCCACAGGCCAGTTCATCTCTCTGGGCAGGGCTTTTTTGACCTGAGTCACCATTTCTAGGTGAAATAGGGGTGAGTGTGGAAACAGAAGAGCTTTTCTCCCTGCTCGCCTGACCCACAATGAGGCTGGCAGGTGCAGAGCTGGAAGCAAAAACCCTTGTGTTGGTGCTGGGAGGGACCTTTCCTTGCATGGACGGAGCTGCTTTCGTTGGACAGGCTTTGTGGTTGGGGTAGGCAGCTGGGTATGCCTCAGTGGGCAGCTGGGGGATGCTTCTTGTTTGGAGAATCAATACCCAAAGCACCGCTGTGGAAGGGGAAGGGCTGACCAGAGTTCCTTACTCGCACAGAGTGAGTGAGGAAAGAGCCAGGATCTGTGAAATGCCCTCCTGGGTCCCTTTCTTCCCCTCGCTGTGAGCCCCAGAGCTGTTCTTCTTCTTTTCCCTTCCACAGGGCTGTTTTCTTCAGGAGGCTTCAGCGGGCTCAGCCTGAACTTGGCTTTCTTCAGTCAGGAAATAGCCAGTCCGTGACAGCAGCAACCACAGCAATCTGCAGCTAGCCCAGGCGAGAAGCAGCCAGTAACCTCTGCGGTGCCAGAGCTGGGGGGCAGAGAGGTGAGGAAACAACCTGGAGCTGCACCCGAAGGGCTCTGCCTGCTCCTGGGAGGAAGCAGGGCAAGGAGAGGGCGCTGGGGCTGCCGTCTGCACCACAGGGACAGCTTCTTGTCTCCCAGCCAGATGTTTTCCAGGCTTCTCTGATGACGCAGCTGGACAAAAGGCTGTCGGCTTGGAGCCTCTTGCCTAGCTCCCTGAGGCTCCTTCACCCCCTAAACTTCTCTCTGAGCTGCTGAAGATCAGCAGAGTCTTTACTGTGATGCCTGAGGGTCTGGCAGCAGGTTTTGATTCGGGGGACGTGGAGCAGCAGGAGCCTTTGCTGCATGCAGGTGGTTGTGGAATGGGACTCATGCAAATACCCAAGGCTTGCAAGGACCAACCCGTGTTTTAGGTTAGGGCTGCAATTAGGCTGGCCGTGTGAGCACAGAGGCTATTGACACAGCCCAGCTGAAGTGTGGGAACTTGTGCTGAGTGCTTGTAGGTGTCTAATTACCCACAACTTCCCACTTAATGTAACGACGTAAATCACAGAGCTGCAGTTTGCAGTGAAATTTCCCTGGCTTCTTTCTGAAGATGGTTTCCGAACCTTTCACTGGCAGTTATCTGGGTCTGGTTTGGACAGCATGAAGACATGTGGGGTTAACAGCAAGCTTTGTTCCTGGTCAAATTATTTAATAATAATAGCTCAAATTTCTTGGAATTCCTTGGAAGCGGCTGGTTCTGTCTGCTGCTGCAGAGAGGATCCTGCCCTCGATGAAGCTCTGGGCTATTTTCGTCTGGCTGTTTCCAGGGTTTGTCTTGTTGCAGGGAATTTAGCTCTTGGTTTGGGTTTTGGCTGTAATTGTAATGCCCTCCTCTTTGCTGAAGCGCAGCCCCCTTCTGGGTGGAGTAAATCCATCTCCTGGTACACAGAAAAATGCCAGAAGGGAGAAATTCAAGTGGGACAATGAAGTTTGAGTGCCATGGGAGGGCCCTCGCTTTTAAGTTCTCATAGATCTGGCTCTGTTCTATAGATGGACATTTAAGAATGCGAAGTTAAATGCCCTTTCCCCCAAATTTTCCACTTGATGACTAATTTGATGGTAAGGTTTAATCTCCTACACACTGCTAACCACAACCGACAGCGATTTAACAACAGAGCAAACAGAACCTCACCGTGTTTGGTTCTCTGACATACACTAACAGCATCTACGCCATTTCCTGAGTTTCTAGGCATGCAATTTTTCTTCAGGTCTTGCATTTAAAGGCTCCTGCAGGCCAGTTCAGGCACCTGCATGGATTGGGCTGTTGGTCCTGCCCAGGGGAGGTGGAAAGGTTCCTGGTGTAAAGCAGCAGCCGAGCCTCTCCGACCCACCTCCCCCGGCACTTCATGGGCCAGGGTGTTGAAAACCCCAACTCGGTGCCTTCACCAGCTTACCCTGCCTGAGGGCACGCCACATTTCTGCACCGGGGTTGAGTTATTTCTTCAAAAGCTCGGACTTGAATTGATGTGGAAACGAGAAATAAACAGCTGAACACTTACAGAGGAGGAGGATAAAGAGAATCTGGACTAAGCGATGCCTCCAGCAGCCTCCTGCAGCTCTTCCAGCTACCTGCAAGGGTTGCTGCCCCCTTCAGTTAGGCTGGTAAAGCTTTAGTCTTTTAGTGGTGGCAGGAGGGGAGGATTTCACTAAATGTTTAGCCCAACAATGTGGAGCCTGTCCCCGTGAGCATCCCGCAGCACCTGAAGCAGCGATCCGTAAGTTGGACAGACCGTGCCTGTCCGTGGTCTGCAGGCACAAACCGAAGCAGTCTGAACCTTAACTGGTCTGTGTGAGAGTACACCAAAGCCTTTCTTTTGTAAGCAAGGCTGGTGAAAATTCAGACATCACTTGATGCTGTTACTGCCTTGGCACTGCTCTCAGGGCTGGTTTGATCTTTGGTGTGCACCGGGGATGAGCAGCGTTAGGGTTACTGCTGTGTGCTGGCTGCTCGCTGTAGTGCTGATCAGGCACAGCTCCCTCAGTTCTGGCCTGAAGGCTTCGATACAGAAATCCTAAATTGGACCAAGCTTTCTCTGACAGGGAAACCTCTTCCCCATATCCCAGCAGGAGCTTTGCTTGTGTTCTAGGCTGCTCTGCCTGCACTGCCCTAAGCTCCCTGTGTTCAAGTCTTTGTCATTTTTAGCCTCTCACTAAGGTAATTGCTCTTAAGCCCTTGCTTACAAATCACAGGACAGGGTAAACATTGTTTTCTAGGTTGTCTACTGAGACTTGAACGTAAAGTAAAACCATATGAGGAAAGAGAGATCAAAAAACCACTGAAGGCAACAGAATAAATCCAGTCTCAAGCAGACAGCTGGACGAGCGTCAAACAAAGCGAGGAACAGCTGGATCAAGTAAAGTACAAGGAAAATTAGTTCCATCCCCGGGGGAGGGAGAGGGATTGTTTCGAGAGCTGTGTGGGACCAACTGTACCCGATAAAACTTTCACATCAAAGTCGGGGCAGATCAGAAGGTCCCAGAGGGAGGGGAAAAGAGGAGAGTGGGTGTTTGTAGTGACTGCAGGCAGAGTTAGGGGAAGGAAGGAGGTGGAGTGTGAGCAAGGGGGAGAGCAGAGAGGGGAGGTGGGGAGGCAGGAGTTGGAGGTGGAGTAACTCTGCAGAATGTGAGCCGCTGTCCACGGCTTTCTGGATGTAAATTGATGAGGTCATAGTGTTTTCCAGTTGTTTAAAAAAAAAGTCTTTAACTTGTTTTTCAAGAGAGACGGAAACACGGAGAAGCTGAAGAAATGGAGCAACTAGCAAAACTCCTCCTGTGGCAGCTCGTGCTTCAGCAAAGTAAGCTCCTCGCTGATAACACGGCGTCGCTTGGGTTGATTTCAGCTGCAGAGGACGGGGCTGGAGGTTTTGGGCTGTTATCTTTGGGAGATTTCGTTCAGGTTCCTGAGTTAGCTGGGTTCTGCTCTGCGAGGGGAGGGAGTTATGGATTTCTCCTACTTTTTTCCTTTTTGAGAGGAAAGGAGAGAGACTGGAGAAATGCTTGAGGTCGTTTCAGTGCTACTCCATCCAGCATGTTTGTGCAATTTACTTTTTCATGTCAGTTCCCTTCATCGGCAGCCTCAAAGGCAGTAAGCTGAAATAAGAATGCCGTCCAGCTTGGCTAGCTACAGGTTGTTTTATACTTCTGAAGGGGCAGAAACAGCTGATTCGTCTATGTGTGTTTAGGATGGAAGACAAAATGAAGGGTTTTTTTTTGCCCTGTCAGCATAAAGACAGGTAAGAATTCACTTTAAGGTTAAGGTGCAGGGAAGAGATGAGGACAAGCACAATGAGCTTAGAGTAACAGAATCGCTTGTGCCTTTTCCTCTTCTACAATGTGCTGGAAAGGCTGCAAGAGGACCCAGTGTCCTTAACTGTACCAGCCCAGCAAATCCACCCTTGCAGCACGTTGGTCCCTAAGGGAGGCACCTGTCTGTGAGCCAGGACCAGCTGCAGCTCCAGGAAGGGCATGGGAAGGCCTCGCTCAGAGGAGAGGGAGGAAGATGAGGAGTTCTCACTTCGGTCCTTAATTAATCTGGCTCCCGCATCACCAAATCCTCTCTGGCTTTGCAGTACCTAAAGGCAAGGAATGGGCATCTCATGGGGTCAGTCATAGGGAAAGCAGGGTTAACGTGTCGCAGAAAACCAGTGGGGTGGTGGGGTAGGGCTGGGGAAGGAGGGAGGCCACAGGTTGCATTTCAGAAGCACCAACCAGCCCAGCTGCTCCCCGGTGTGGTTTGGCAGAGTTTTTGGGAGTGCCTGGGGCAGGAAGAGCAGGCTGGGCTGCTGCACAGCGCTGGAGAGCTGCGGGAAGGAGGCAGTATCCCCCCGAAGGATGGTGTGATCTCACACCGACGTTTTTTTGGGTGTATTTTGGAGAGAGAGCTGTCCGCACGCCAGGCAGTCATCGTGCTGAGAACTGCTGTACCCACCCAGCTCGGCTCAGCGTGCCGGGAGAAGACGGGGAGGGGAGAAGGGAAGAAATCTGTCTTTTTTTTGCTGAGATGCTCTCTCTTGGAGAAGAACCACACCCTCAAGCGTTAACGTCTTGCAGGGAGGAGCAGCCCCGTGTTTGCAATGGCTCTGTGAGCTGCTCCGTGGGCCCGCAGCCAGCGTGAAGTACACAAACCAGCGAAGGGCTCCCAGGGCTGAGCTAACATCTGAGCCCTCCACGAGGAAGTTTGGGCAAATTGGGCCAGGATGCCATCGGTTTCTTGTACAGGCAGGAGGCTTTTCCCTTCCACATTCTTGCTTTGTGCCAGCCCACGGCGTGTTCCTGCCTGCAGTGTTGGACTCGTTGGGGCTGGGGGGCGGCTAACAGCTCTCCAGCCCCAACATCCTTCTTGCAAGCACTGTCCTCTGCCCTTGAGAAAGCTGTCCCAGCGAGCCTTTAAAACTAAACAAGCACAGAAACTTAGGTAAAAGCCCAAAGTCCGATGGCCATCTGTTGGCTTTGTAGGGGAGGCCTTAAGTGAGAAGCTTGGTCCTGCATCGAGGCACGGGACCGTGCTGCTCACCATCTCCCTCCTCTGCTTGTTTGGGATGCACCCAGCTGTGGACTTCTGGGTTAAAATATTGGCTACTGGAGTAGTGCTGGGCTTGTGTGTGTTGCTGGCTCCGTGGGGTTGCTGTGCTGTGAGCTGTCAGGGCCTCGCAGACACCGGGTCAGCTCCCCACAGGGGCAGGATGGAGCCACTGCCATTCTCCAGAGGTATTTGGAAATGGCTCGGTAGCACGAGCTTCTGTTTTTGGGGTAATTGTGAAACAGCTCTACAGAGACCTTTAAATCCTCTGCATAAGCAATGGGATTTGTGGGAAAAAGGAGTCTGCCACACAGATTTCCTGCAGAACAGCTCCTTTGTCTAGACCTAGAGCAGCCCTCTGCACCCCTGATGTGAAGGCAGCCTTGGTGCAGAATTCCCTTTATTGAAAAGAAGAAAGAAATTGAGACCAGGACATGGTTGGAAGGCGTGCAAAGAGGTCATGAGCTGAGCTTAGGCAAGCCGAGCATCAGCCTTGGAGACTTGCTTCAACCCCCATTCCTGGTGGGATGTGGCTTTCATTCCTCCAGGGAATTTTTAGTTTTTCTTTCCTGCCCACCACCACAATCTGGACTTCAGGGACGTTTATTGTCTTGTAAGACACCGATCTGGGCAGCTTATCCTGGCTCTGCAGGCTTTGGGGGCTCAGCTCTTCCTGCGCCCAGCTGAGGCCCTGCCTGTTCTCGTGCCCTGTGGGGTCTTTGTGCCGCCTGGCACTCGGGCTGCCGCTCTGGGTTTGCAAAGTTTCTGTTCTGGTGTTCTCCAGCACGGGCCAGGAATGCGGTGGTTTCCTTAGCACGTGCTTCCACCTCTGCCAGCAGCCTCTGGGAGCAGAAGAGCAGGGGTCCTGCTCAGGCAAGGACACTTTTTTCTCTTTGAGCTGCTCCAAGGGCAGTGCCTGGAGAGCTCTGCCATGCAGCACAACTCTCAGAGCCTGAGGCTTCTACTTCCAGCTTGCCTGCACCTTCTGCAGCCTAATTCTGTGCTGTAGAGATGGCTGGGATTCAAGAAGTGAGAGCTGGCCCTGCCTTTTACAAGGGATTAGAAACCTGCAGGCTGCTTTCCTCTTCCTATACCGTGGGAGCAGCAGAACACCTCTGGGATCCTGCCGAGGCGTGCTGAGTCCTCACAGAACATGGCAGGGGACGAGTTTGTTCTTCTCAGGTGGGTTTATCCCTCGGAGAGAGGGCAGGGTGATCATCCTCCAGGTGGAATTTGAAATATGTTAAATGAAAGCTACGGTGAGCCCTGCCTTGCGGTCTGTTCAGGTGTTTGGTTCTAGTGCACGACGAGACGGTAACCCTGGGCCGTCTTTGTGTCACCCAGCAAGCCAAATAACCTGGCAGGGCTTCAGTGGATGCTTTTCCCTTTTCCTAAAAGGAAGCAATGCCCCTGGTCACCGCGGGGCAGACCTGGAGGGACCCTGGAGTTCCCGGAGAGGGGCTTGGGGGGGCACCACCAAGGCACAAAGCCGTGCTCAGCGCTGGCCTTGGCCTGGGGCTGGGCCTGGCTGCCGAGCAGAGCCCGCTGGAAGGCTTCGGTGGATGTCCCTGTCGGATGTGAGATTTACAGCGCGACGTCTGGGCTCCGTGTTTTTCCCATTAGCTTGCGAGAGGAAGGGAGCAAAGCGAACGCATTCCTGCTGCTCAGCCAGAGGAGCCTGCTTCTGCTGCACCAAATCAAGTGAACGAGCACTGAAGCGAGACCCTGGAAGCTCAGGCAGTGCAGGCAGCCAGCTCCCAGCCACATTTCCTCCCACACAGGTCACCTTGTGGCACCTGGTCACACCACAGATGCCACCAGCTCGGGTATGTAAGCACTGCCGGGTCTCATCACCCCAGGCAGGTGCTGTTGTGCTGCTCCCAAGCCTCCTGAGAGCGATTTTGTTCCTTATAAAACCGACTGACTGGCTCTGGGAGAAAGCTGGATCTTTTTTCTTTGTGATGCTGAGCTCTTAAGTGCAGGAGGTGTCTCTGAGCGGGCAGTGCTGCTCGTTTTTATTCTCCGGTGTCACTGCTCGGTGTTTCCTGGTAGGAGAAGGGAAAGAAGCGGCGTTTATTCCCAGCCTGTGCATTGAGGGTGTGGTTAAAGTAGCCCCAGCCTGGAGTTAATTTTTTTCTCTTTTCAAATGAATAAATTCCAGGGCTGAAAAAAAACAAAAACCTCCAGCCTTTGTCAGGCGGGCATTGTGCCTGTGACATTAGCAGCACAAAACATCCAGTTGTCCTGCTGGAGCCCACTTGGGCTTTGCTGGTTGGAGAGAGAATGCCATCGTTGTGCTGAGAGCCTGCTGCGTGCTCCCAAAGCCTGATGCCGGGAGACCTCCAGACCCCTCCTACACACCAAGCAGGAGGGACTGGGCCAGAGCAGTGCGGAAACAAAGCCGTCAGTTGATGTCTTGCAAAGCTCTTCCTGCACAGATCTGCGTCGCGTGCGTTGGAGAGAATCGTGGCTGCTTCCAGAGCGTTACGTGGCCGGCTGTGCAGAGCAGGAATGGGAGCAGGAGAGGCTCTGGGGAGCCAGCACGAGGTCTGCCCAGCAGAGGACAGGTAGTTTCAGCACCCCGCAATGCCCTCTGCCTTTGGGGAAGGACAGGACACTTCTCATCTTAGGGATCTCCTGCTCCCAGGCAAGCGTGTACCCACTGTGCCCGCTGGCAGGGGTGTGTGAGTGGGACAGGGTGCAAAACACTGCTGGGACTGCCTTCACACAGGAAATGCTTCACCAAAAGCTGGTGGATGTTTTATTTTCTTGCTTAGCCTAAAATAAATGTCCAGTCCAGGGTAAGTGAAACGACCGAGAGGCGTAGGACAGCCTGTGGGAACGGGCAGCTCAGGAATGCAGCCGGCAAGCGAAACTCTTCTTGTCCTGCTGTTTCTGCTGGTTCCCATGCAGGAGGAGTAGCAGATCCTATGGTGTCCGTGCCTCCCAGCCCCCTGCCCAGTCCTGCCTCCTTGGGTTCTTATTTTTTGTCCTGCACTGAGCGTGTTAAGTAGCAGAAGACGCCTTTCAGGCAGTTTCAGTGGGTGATGCACTGACATACCTTTGGTGTAGGGTTTGAATAGCAGGGTGAAAAAAACTGTAGCTGTAGACGGTGTGAAATAAAGACAGGGACTGTCCAAAATTCAGTTGCAGGCTGAGCATTCCCCTTGTTGCTCCTAAGTGTGAGTTGGATCAGGCAGTTGCTGCGTTTGCAACATGGGCCAAGCAAGGGCTCAGCTCTGGGCTTAACCACAACGCTCACCTTAAATGAGCATTAAGAGAGGAGGGAGGGATGGGTGGGATAACAGCAGAGGAGACAGCTGCATTTGTGTCTTTTATTGTCAGTAACATTCTTTTTTTTTCTGCTTTGACAGGTTCTGTTGATTTATATTCAGGTGAGTGACATCTCTGTCATCTGCCTGTTCTTTTTGTCACTGTGAGAAGAAATTGGGTGTCGTGGAACCAGGCCCCCCAGGATGGGCATTTTGTGGCTAACTTCCATAGGCAGCAACCATGAACAAGTGTCTCTAAGCATGGATATAAGTGTGGGTTAAGGCTGAAAGGCAGGTAGGACACGTCAAATTTAGGATCCCGATGACAGACATTGTTTTTACTGAATGCAACCATCAGTTTGAAGTGTATTTCTTTTGTATTTCTTCATGAGAGAGCTCTGTGTGGTCTTGAAAATCACTTTATTTTGGCTGGGAGGTGAGCAGCGATTCTAGGGCAGGGCTGAATCTTACTCCAGCCCCTTCTTCGCATGCTATTAACCCGGAAACTCTTTTCCTTTCTTTGCTCCTGGCTCTCAGTCCCGGCCGATGCCTCCAACCCCAACAGCGTGGTAGTGTCCGTGCTGAACATCAGCGCCACGCTGGGCTCGCAGGCTGTCCTGCCCTGCAAGAGCTACCGCATGGTGTGGACCCAGGATCGCCTCAACGACCGGCAGCGCGTGGTGCACTGGGACGTCTACAGCACCTACTACGGGGACAACAAGATGGAGAGGCTCTGCGACATGTACTCGGCGGGGGATCAGCGTGTCTACAGCTCCTACAACCAAGGGAGGATCTTCATGCCGCAGAACGCTTTTACGGACGGCAACTTCTCTCTGGTGATCAAAGGTACTCGGCAGTGTCTTTCCTCCCCGTGCTTCCAGCGCAGTGGAGGATGCGTCTAAACTGGCTTCGTGCTTTCCAGGGAAAATGGCTATTCTACAGAGTATTTTTATGAAAGTAAAAATGAGCCTAAGGAGGTTATGTGAATCACTGGCGATACAGTTTTATTCCCCTTTGAACCAATCCCATTTTAAAAGGGGATCGATAATTTGCTGTCTAAAACTCCTTTGGGCTTCTTGTGGACATTTGGCTATTTCAGCTCCTGAGCCATAAACCCAAAGTTGTCATTCTTCCTATGCCTGCTCTTAGCTAAACTGAAATTGGCTTCCTCTTTCCATCTGGTAATACAAATCTCCACGCAAGAGCTAAGAAGCAGAACAAATGATTGTGTTAGGTGAGGTGGATCCTCTGTTTAACCCTCCCTGGTGATCAGATTTTGTTCTAAGCTATGCAGAGGCCCCTGTGTGCATCCACAAGCATTTGGGAAATGGCATAAATGACAAAAATGTTATCTTAGCATGAACCATTCATCTTCCTCTCTCTCCTCCGTTGCCCTAGATGTTGCAGAGAGTGACGGAGGCATTTACTCGTGCAATCTCCACCACCACTACTGCCACTTGTACGAAACTGTGAAAATCCAACTGGATGTCACCAAGAAAGGTGGGTGTGAGGCAGCTTGGGGCCCCTCTCGGCAAGGAGCAGGGTCTGGCAGCTGGAGTCCAGTTGCTTCCAGTACGGTGCTGAATTCCCAGTGGGATTTGTGTGCTGAGCCACAGAAGGTATTGTGTGCTGTGCTGCTCATGTCAGAGAGGAGCAGCGTGGGTGAAGGGTTTTCTGCTGGCTTCTCAGTGCAGATTCAGGGTGCAGGTGCCACGAGAGTCCTGTGGTGCTCGCTGGGCTGTTTTCTGTTTTCTGACTCCTCAAGTTTCAGTATTCTAGCCAACGTGTGTGTTTTTGTGAACCTCCCTTCTTTCTTGGCCTCTCCCAAACCCTGCAGAGAGGCTGTTAACTGTTTCCATCAGGCAGCCCAGCTAGCTAACTGTCCTCTTAATGCTCCGGCAGTAAAACATCCTCAATAACAATCCCTCATTACTCAGGTTAGCCACAAATATCTGCCTTGTCACACAGGTCTGGGGAGCTTAGTCCTGAGAAGCCTGGAGTTAGAAAACCTCCTCGTGCAGCGTGCCGTGACTCCAGCTCTAAAAGCAAGCTTCTCAGGGCTGTTGGCAACTGCAGTCTGTGCCACCTACACTGCAGAAGCATCACTACTGTGTCCTTTAAGTCCACCTTTATGTCATGCAGAAGTGAAGCTGCTGGGAGGCTGTCGGAGGGCTGAGTTTTCCAAGAGGCTGAGGAGATAGGACAGAAATGTCTCTCCTCTGCTGTTCTCACGGCTTCCATGCAGTGAGAACACCCAGCCCGGCCTGCGAGCCCCAATCTGCTCATCCGTGGTTTTGTTCTTGAGAAGGAATAACAAAAGAATCCAATGTAAAACAGCACTCCTTGAACTTCCCCAGTAATTGGGGCACTTGTGGGTAGGAAAGCATTTCCTGCTCGGAGGAGCAAGGCACGGCATGTGGAAGGTGAAGCCTGCTGGGGGAACAACGTGCTTCCTGCTGGGTGAAGCAGGAGGTGAGCCCTGTTAGGAGGAAGGGAAGGTGCTCCTGCACTGAGCTAGGGTGTGGAAGGTGCAGGTAGATTTGTTTATTGACCGCTGAAGGGAGTGTGAACAAGGCACAGCACCTCGGTGGCACTTTGGGGTCTTTGTAGGGGATGTTTTATGGGGCTGCAGGGTGTGGGAGGGACCTCAGGCACATCTGGGTGTCCTTAGGCATGGGGTGAGCGTGTAAAGGTGCACGTCCCGAGGCTCTACAACTTGTCATCTCCACAGCCAAAGCAGCGAAGGAGTACTGGGACGGGGAGAAGGCCGTGATCGTCGCCCTGGAAGGCAGCACGGTGATGCTTCCCTGCGTGAACAGGAACCAGATCTGGACAGAGCGGCACAGCGAAGAGGAGCAGCAGGTGGTCCACTGGGACAGGCAGCCCCCGGGGGTCCCCCACGACCGCGCCGACCGCCTGATCGATCTGTACGCCTCCGGAGAGCGCCGCTCCTACGGCCCGCTCTTCATCCGCCAGAAGATGAACATCACCGACACGGCCTTCGCCCTGGGGGACTTCTCCCTCCGCATTTCAGAACTGGAAAGCGCCGACGAAGGCACCTACTCCTGCCACCTGCACCACCACTACTGCGGCCTGCACGAGAGGAGGATCTACCAAGTCTTTGTGACAGAGCCCGTGAGGGAGAAGAAGGTGGTGAACCTCACAACCCACAACACTGCCCCAGCCGTCGGTAAGTGCCTGCTGGCAGCTTCCCCGACTGCAGGAGGGAGGGAGGGAGCGTGGTCGGGGCAAACTGTGCCCTGCAGGGGTACCGCAGACACCACGGCAGTGAAGGTGCAGCTCAGAGCAACCCCGAGGTTTCCTGCATGAAGCTTTCTCGTGTTCCTGCCCCTAAGGTTGGAGGAGGAGATGAGCTCTTGCCTTCCTCACTGCTAGGGTACAGCGCCGGGGTGTTCCCGAGCTGTTTCCACACGCTGAGAGAGACGTGAGGATCTCTGGAGCTGCGCCCAACCAGGAGGGTCCCACCCATCAGGGCTCATCACCCTGCCTGCAGAGCTGGCTGACAACACGTCCTGTTGCTTGCTCTGCTCCCTTGCTGCTCTGCGAGGCTCGCGTGCCCTGAGGCAAGCGGCTCTTTTTCTAGCAGGCTCCCTTTTCTGATTGTTTTTCTGAACCAGGAGAGGCTGTGGAGTTAGGGGTCAGTTCTGCGCTGCCCCTGCTGTGACAACGTGCCCCTGTTCGTGCTTCTCTCCCCATCACACAGGGGTTTAGGCTGCGCCAGGTGCCAGGCTGCACGGAATCAACCACAAGGAATTTTCCTCCACCCTTCAGTTTTTTAATTTTTTTTTCTTAACTCAATTTTCACATTTTCCACTGCACTGAGTTATCATCTGACAGCCCGTCCAACCCCCCAGCTGTCACGCTTCGTTTAGGCAGAAGAGTAAAATCCCAAGTTTGATAATTTTTTTAATCTTTTGGGTATAGATTCTTATTAACATTTTAACGTCCTCATTGTGGTTTAATATTTATTGGCTGCTCGATACAAAATTTTGACGTGCTTCATCCATTTTTCAATAGCTCTGTTCTTCTCCAGCAATTAGGTTTTTTCATGTCACAGAAACCTAAACCTTCCCACTGGGACCCAGGCTGGTGGCCAGAAAACCAGGCGGTACCGAAGAGAGGTGGCCGTGGGGGCTGAGCTGGCGCAGAGGTCAGGACACACAAATATCAGCCTCCCTGCTTGGAGCTCTTTTGCTGCCCTCGAGTCCTATTTAAATCACATTGTGCAGATGGAAACTACATCTCGTTTCCAGAGCTGTCCACCCAGGAATCTGTTCCCCTCTCCCCTAGATGCTGTCCTTGTTGTTGCTGGGTATTTATTTACCTTCTTGCTCAGACCTTAGGCAGAACCTGCAAGTAATCCAGCCTGCTGGGGCTGTCTTAGTTTGGCAGTAATGCCCCGTGCTGAAGGAGCTTGCAACCCTGAGAAAAACCATTTCCAGCCCCAGGAAGAGCAGCCTTGGAAGAGCTTTGTCCCCTCGGGGCAGCGAATGCTCAGCTGCTCGGAGAGCACCACACACAAGAATGTGCTGAGTCGATGGGAACAGGGAAGAGCCCAGACGTTCAGGGAGCCGTGCTCAGCCCCAGTGCTGCTCAGCAGCCTGCTGGTACATGCCCTGTCTGTGAGCAGCAGGAAAGGCTGAGCTGTTGCCCTTCTCCACAAAAAATCGTGCAGGACTTCTCTGGGCTGTGACTTAAAGCCAAACTGAAACACCAGGAGATAACAAAAGCAAAGCAGGGAGATTTTTTTTTTTCTTTTTTTCTTTCTTTCTTTTTTTTTTCTCCAGCAAGCAGCTATAGCTTCTGGCGTAGCTCCAAGGCTCAGAGCCATTTCCAGACAGGAAATTTCATCCTGTTTTGAACTATAAACATGAGTTCAATCCTGTTCTCAGTCCCAGCAGAACAAATGTGTTGTGTGTGTACTAATTTAGTGCATTTTTTACTCCGCGTTTGCTTTGGAACAAGTGATTGAAGAACGGCATCTCTTGCGTCTCTTGCTTATTGCTGGCCTATTCCCAGTCTTGAAAAGAAAATGGGCCACATACCCAGCAGCTGTGAGCTCTTGGTGGAGCTCTCTCCATTTGTTTTTCCCCAACAGAAGGATCTGCCCCTCGACATTTTGGTAAAGTAACGTAAAGGCACCTCCGTTCCAACTTTTTTGGGGCTAAGGAGGCCCAAAGTTTCTGAACTTCTTTCCACAGCTTGCCGTTGTGGCCACCTCTCTGATATTGGCTGAAGTTTCAGATCAGCTCCTGCCCTGCAGTACTTGGGGAAAGCAAAAAGCCAGGAAAAAGCCTGGGGGCTCAGTGGCTGCACCAGGGGCTGCCCTCTCCTTCGGGCAGCTGCTGAAGACGCCCTTCGTGGTGCAGGGGTTTGTTACAGCAGAACCATCCCTGTGCTGATTGCAGCTTTGCGGTTCTTTTTGGTATGGAATTTTGGAGCTGTGGTGAAAAACACATGCTCGTCTTCAGCGGTAGAGCCAGGAAATACAAAACCTCCAGCAGTGCCAGCAACAACTGCAGCGGAGGGCTGCACAACCAGCACGGGGCAGCTGTTAAAACCTCCCCATTTTCCAGGAGTGCTGTGAGTATTAGCAACCAACCATCGCTGCCACCAGGCTGTGCTTCCATCCATTCCATCCACGATCATTTTATTTGTTTTTAAATGCTGCAAACAAGCCACTCAACCAACTGGAACCTTTCGCTGTGCCAGCAGCTCCCAAAATTTCATCCAGGGTTACTTTTAATTGACCTGAATTGATTTAATTGACCTGGAGTGTCTGGGGAGCAAGCACTCATTTACCTGCTGCCTGCTTTTCCTAAAGCCAGAGCTGACCCAGACACCGTGATGAGCTTCCTAACTCTTAACTGCTCTGGCCCTGTTATCTGAATCTTAATTTATATTTAGGCATTTTCTGGTGCCCCATGGCCTTGGGTTGCTCAAGCGTTTGATGAAGAGGTTTGCTGGTTAGCTTAATAAGCTGTTTGCCTCCCTGCTGTCATGGAGGGTGAGGTTGGACAAAACCAGCGCTCTTGGTGCTGAGTTTTTTGTGGGGAATATTGAATTTCTGGGCTCAGCCTATTTACAGCGCTGTGCCGATGGAAATGAGCAGTCTCTAACATTCCCAAACGGCCTCAAAAGGAAAACCAGCTGTTGAAATAATGATGAACTCGCTGGCTTAGCTCAGCTGCGACATTCCTGTTCCTGCCGATCAGCTCTGACCTTAACTGGTGCTGGAGATGTCGCTGAGCTTAAGGAGGAATACCAAAAGGCTGCCAAAAAGGCTGTGAAAAAGGGGAAATCTGGCCCTGGTGGAATACAGAGAATAAGCTGGACACGGCCCCGTCTTTGATAAGGGACCAGACTGCCCGTCTGCCTCTCATCCCAGTCACTACTCGGTGCCAGTGGTGTCCCAGTCTCTGCATGAGACAGGCTTAAGAGGAAGCAACGGGTTGAAGGAAGCAGGAGCTCTGCTCTGACAGCGTCCTGGAGGTACAGAGCGGGCAGGGAAAGGTGCCACTGGAGCTCTGGCCCTCCTGGTTTTGGCCCTGCTGCTCTCGCAAGCATCAAACCTCCTTAGCAAAGCAAGCAGGGAAAGGAATCTGCTCTCAGCCTGCTGGTGTCGGGCCGTGTTTAGCCCCAGGACTGGCCCCAGGTTGTCGTGGAGTAACAGTGAGCAGCATCCGATTTGTAATTAAACACTTTTGGTAGGAAGGAGGAGACAGAGCCTGGGCTGTCTGCGTTGACGCGGGGTGATTTGGAGGCCTGGGTCTGGGCTTCTTGCAAGCAGAGAAGTCGCTTTCCCTTTCTGTGTGCAAAGCCGTGACCTATTTATTTGAGATCTACAAAAATGTTCCACGTAAAAGTTTTGAGTTACCCTTCCCTGCGCCGAGGAACTGAAGCGCTGCTGCACCCACCGCTGGAATGGAATCTTGGCTTTTCTTTGCGGGTTTTGATTTTATTTATTTTATTGATTTTTTTTTTTCTTTTTTTTTTTATTTGAAAAGGAAACTCATTCTTTGGCATTGAAAATTCCTCCCACTCTGTAAATTATAACCCTTGGCAGGGAGTGGCTGCTTCATACTTGAGCTGTCTGGAGCCGAAGCAGCGCCGTGCGCGTGTTGCAGGGGACCCAGCGCGGGGCTGCGTTACCCCGCAGGAGGCTCCGGGCTCTGTCCTGGGGCTCCTTTCTGATTTCTCCTCTGCCGTGAAGCAGAGCAGTGTGCTGAGAGCCAGGCAGCAGCACGGGAGTTCATTAGGTTCAGAAGCTTCTCACTGCACGGCCTTTTCGGTCCCATGTTTGTGTCCACCTGCAGTTGTGCTGTGCTGTGAATGCCGATTGTGATTCTCATCCTGTTCTCCTTTCCCTCTGCCCCCAGATCACAACGTTGTCAGGGGCCACAACGTGATAAACGTCATCATCCCCGAGGGCCGCATCCACTTCTTCCAGCAGCTGGGCTACGTCCTGGCGACGCTGCTGCTCTTCATCGTCCTCCTCATCATCGTTGTCCTCATCACCCGCAAGCGCCGGCAGAGAGGTAGGTGCTGGAGAAGTCCTTGGAGTGCTTACGGGACTGTCTCGTGGCAGGGGAACTGATTCTGCAAATAATTACTGTGCAGCACGACGCCAAAGGCAGCAATCCTCTTCTGGAAATCCAGAGGAGAGTCTGCAGGTGCTGGTGCTGAGAGAGATTCATTAGAGTGGGGTAAAAATGTCCAGGCCTTGATTTGCTGATGGTGGGATTTATTTAGAGCAGAAAGCTTACGTGCATCCCGTGGGGACTGAGATTTTTTTAAGTCCTTGCTGAACCCCCTGTACTGGGTGACTGTGTGTGATTAGATAAACGTATTCGGAGATCTTTCGGTTCACAAAAATAGTTTTTGATGCCACACAACAAGCAAATACCAGGGAATGTTTGTCTTCTTTTGCAGTACCACGTCTGTCCTTATTTCCGTATCAGGGGGTAGCACCAACACACAGCAGGCTGTCCCTGCTGACTAGAGTGGAGTTGCTTTGCAGTCACAGAGGGGACAGACTCCCGGCCCTGTTTTTTCAATAAAAAAGAGGAGCCCAAAGTTATTCCTTGCTGGTTGGAGTGAGGCAGGAGTCTGTTCAGATACCTGGCAAGTGGAAGGCAGATGGAAACCGGTGTCTGCAGTATGTGATGGATGCAATGGGCTGGGGCTGGACAGATGCATCACCAGCACGCAGGAGAAGACAGATGGGCTAAATATTTGTGTAATAAATGGGAGGTAAAAAATGAAATATGGGGCTGGTTGTAGTTTCTCGTGGCTGGTCATCCTTAAATTTGGGAAAACCATCAGAAAGCTGGTGAGTGAAGGAAGGGGGAGCTCCCTGTGGCAGGGGGATGTGCATGAATTCTTGTGTGTTAGAGGGGTTGTGAAAATGCTTGTTGTAAGCATCACAACAGAGAGCACTGCGAATAACTGCTGTGTGTTATTGTTATCAGTGGTATCTGGGAGGTGGTTGGGCTGGATGCAACTGTTCATTTTATTTCTTCTTCCTGTTTAGGCTATGAATACAACGTGAAGAAATATGGAGAGTAAGTATAATTACAAGATCTACTACCTATGGCTAGAATACATAATAATGACCTTAGTGGTCCCAAGCCTCTGCTGTCATGAAGATCCTAAAGGAGCTGAGGATCTGGTTAGTAGGAACACAGCCGTGTAAAGCAGAGACTGTTTGATATGGTTTCATAGTTGGACGTGGGCCAAGATAGTGTATCTGGGTCCTTTTATGTTTTATTACATATACTAACATGGAAGAAATGGGAAAGTTCCAGTTCAAATTGGCTCACCATCATTCTAGGCTCCAGACAAACTCATGGGGAAAAAAGCAACCAACCAGCCAGAGATCTGTTGGTGTTAGTAGACAAGACAGTATAAACAAAAGAGAAGAGAATCAGATTCACTAGTGAGCAGGATGATCTGCTGAAAGCTGTTTGTCATGTATTCGTCAAGGGAACCTTGCAGAAGCTGAAAATGGTTCTCCAGAGATGACTGGGAATATCACCTGTACTTAATAAAGACTGAAATCTATAGTTTTTTCAGCTGTCCTCCAGATGTATAGCAAATAAACAATGTAGATTAAATTCCTTAAAGTAGCACTAGAAAGCAATTGTGGAAAAAAGGTAAAAAGAGACAGTTATTAAAGGATGTGGCAATAACCGTTTTTCACTCTCATTCCTTTTTCAGGAAGGATGTAAATCTTAAAGAATTTACAGTCGACACAACAGATCTGACCCAGTACAGAAGTGAAGACATCAGGCTGGGTATGCATCGGCTCGCAGCCCTTCTCTAGACCAGGTCAAAACTTGTAACTGAGGATTTCCTAAAGGTATTTAGGTGCCCATTTTATAGCGACTTAACCTCCTGATATTAAAGGGCAGATTTATGAGAATCTCACCCCTAGAAAAGGAGCAACCTTAGAAGAACAAGCTGACAAACTCCAGGTCCCAAGCTACAAAACTGCTGTGTGTAAATGAGGTAGATATAAAAGCTAAAGTAAAGAGCAGAGGAATTGCAGGCGGTGGGCTGCAAATCAGGACAGCACAAGTATAACATTCTTGTGTGTGTGTGTCTCAAGGGAGCTTTCCTGTGAGCAAATTCTTTAAATAACTGCATCAGTCACCTTCACATGACCTTAACCAGATAATCCAGAGCTTGTTGCTACATAGAGGAAGAATCAGTGGTACCTATGAGGAGCAGGAAACTGAAGTGTGTGTAACTGATCAGTGCCAGGAAAAAACAAAACAAAACAAAAACAACTAAGCTGTAGTATGTTTCCTTCTCCTGCTGAGTAACTCCATGAGTTACTCCTAGAGATCTGGAGATGTTATGTGTCGAGTACTTCAGGGAAGGGCTGATCCCGTCTCCCTTGCCTATAAAACTTTTTCTTTTAATGTTCTGATAGCTGTCTGAATTGCACTCCTCCCTTATACAGATTACAAAAACAACATCCTGAAGGAGAAGGCTGAGCAAGCCAGAACCTTCCCAGCAAAGAACATCGACTTAGACAAAGGTAATAATGACCTGCTTCACCCTAATTGGTGGCTGTCGGAGCCTTGTGATGGGTTGGAGGAGGGAGGAACATACTCTAGCAGTAAGCTGACCAAGCCACAGTCAAATGAGGAATGGTAAACATCATGACAAATGAGAGCAGGAATGAGAAGCCAGTTCCCTTCCTATCCTTTCATCATGGAGCCACAAGATCCAAGTAGTGATTAGGTTTTTAAAAGCTTTTGGCATGGCACAAATAGATTTTCTTCTTTATTGGAAAAAGAATGCCTTGCAGGGTTGGAATAGCACATTCTTATTACAGCCTCAGAGAAAGATGTATCTCAAAAAAGTATTGGCATTATGTTTGTGAAGAAAACACTGTGCAGAGGAGTGTTCTGAGCTGGATTCGTTTATGGGCAATGGGCAGCCTTTTACTTCATCCAACAAAAGCAAACAGCTCTCTCTCTGTAGGAGCTGAACCTTATTTTGTTTATCCAGGCTTAATTCTGCGTATTATCCCTCAGTTTTCAGGGTTGCACTTAAAACAAACAGCGGTTGTAAGAAGGCTGTCAGGTTCTGTGACTCCTTCCATATCAATTCAGAACATAATAAATGTGATTGAAATGAGAGCAAGAAGGAAGAGGTCTAGAGAGCCTGTGAGTTGCCTTAGACCTGCAGCTCTTGATGCATTTCTCATGATATTTTACCTACATTCTTCAGAGATGATCTGTGCAAGAATTTATGTACCGTAAATCTAACTGTGGGGTTTATGAAGAGGATAACGAGAGCGTAGCTGACTGCAAATGGTCACTCGTCACTGTAGAGCTAAGTTCTTATCACAGCGTGTTTCTTTGGGTGGTTTGAGGTTGCTGTCAAGGTACTGACCTCCATTTCAATTTGCTTTCAGATTTCAGGAAGGAATACTGTAAATGAAGACGTTCCCAAGCTGCTGGCTGGACCAGAAGCTTCAATCAAAGATAGATAAATGGAAAAGAGATGCCTTTTCTTGATACCATGTCCCTCCAGTTACCATACATTTTTCATGTAGAGTTTCTCCCCAGTAAGCACAAGGGTATTTGCAAATGCTTCCCAAAAGAGTTAGACCATCTGTCTTGTGTGCACTTATGATGGGTTTTGGTTTACTTTTCTTCTTTTGTTCTCCCAGTCCTCCCTTCCCCTTTTCTTTCTGACATTATTGTTGTTTTTATGCATCAATGATTTTTATGAGCTGAATCAGCAGACCTTTTGCTTTGACGTTACTGCTTAAAATAAACCAACCTGCATCACTATTCCTGAGCCATCATTATATCAGGCATTTTTCCGTGCAGTGCATTCATTAGAAAAGGAATAGCAAAGCCTGATTGTGATCTCTCGTATGCTGGTGTAAATCAGGAGAAATGGTACTGTCACTTAGCACTTTACGTGTTCCAGGTGAAATAGAGACTAATTCAACCCTTCACAAACAACAATGTAAATACCTCATTTTACGAATGGGGAAATGCCAATATCCTCATTTTATAGGGGAAAGGGAGGCACACAGATTTAGTTTCTTGCCACCAAGGTAGTGTTGGGATCAGTTCCAAAGAGCTCTGGAAGCCTCATTTTGTATTTCTCACTCTAAGCTTGTTTGTTGATTTGTTTTTGTTTCAGTGCAGACCAAATCAAATTTGGCACGAGCAGACACTTTCAGCTGAAGTTGATGGAGTTACAGTGCTGTAATGCCAGTGTCAGTTAGATCAGATCCAGGAATAATATGGAGAGGGCTAAACTCCTGTGTGGAATCTGGAGAGTGATTTTCCTGCAGTCCTGGGGTGGATCCTGCCCACACAGAGCTTGTGTGCACATCAAACCAAAGGTATGATCACAGCACAGGTAGACAGAGCGATAAAAAGAACAGCTTTCCATGAGCTGATCATGAAGAATGAGAGTATCAACACTACTCCACTATCAGGCACGGTCCACAGTCCCCAAAGGGGAGCTGAGGAGGGATAAGAGTATTCTTGTGAGTTTTGCCATCATTTTGGGGAGCAGATGCCTGAGACAGAGGGGCTGTGGGCTGAAGGGAAGCTCTACGTATGAGCAGGTGGGATGTCCAAACATTTGCAAGTGAGTAATTCAGTGTTAAAATCCAAGCAAGGTAAAGCCTCGGGAACACCATAAGATATTAACCACTCTACACAGCTACTCTGGCTGCTTGGGACGTGCTGCAGCACCGCTCCCAAAACAGGGCACAGATGAAAAGAAGGTGTTTCTTGCCCGTGTGGGCATGATGGCAGTGGCTCGTGTTCCTGTGTAAGGGTGTAGGTGGCCAAGGATTGCCAGCCTACTCTTTGGTGGTCCGAAGAGAATGGCAGAGGAAGGGACTGTGTGGGCTCGGTGACTGAATGGAACTGGGGTAGGGTCTCCAGGATGTTGCGAGTGGTGGAAGTGTGAAGAGGAGCTTGTGTGGAGCTGCTGTGAGGGTGAGGTGTGGCTGTGGACTTGAAGCAGTGCTCTGCTTGCAGCTGGTATCCCAGCAAGGATTTCTTCCTGGGGATGAGAACCTGAGGTCTTTCCTCGGACCACAGCTACTTCATCCCCAGCAGAGGAGCGTGGTGGATGCTGATTTGCAGCTACTTATGCTGGAGCTGAGCTTAGCCCCCTAGCTCTGCTTCCTACATAGCAGAAGAGCTGTTGTGTGCTCGGAAGCTGGGCTGAGTACTGCAGCACACACTTTACAGGAGTGGGAAATGGACCATGTCAGTTTTTATAGATATTCCCACTTCTCTCTGCTAGCGAGGACTGTCTTAAATGGCAAATATATTGGGGACCCTTATTTTTAATGCCTTCAAAGATTGCAGAATCTTAATGACAGGAAAATAATACAAGTGGAGGTGAGCCTGTGCTACAGCTGTGCAGTTCCTTATCGTCCTACAGCTTGCACAGCCCTCCTGCTGTTCTCTAGACAATTTCTGTGAGTTCTGCCTCTCCCTTCACTCAGCACACCTGTGTGGAAGTGCTCAGGGTGGGCAGAGCCATGGCTGGTGGCGAGGAGGGCACGGAGTCGGCCCAGGTCCCTGTTTGCTGCCCTTCCCCCTGAGCAGACAGCCGTTCCGAGGTTGCCTTTGGCTGGACCTGATTGAAACCCAAGCTGCATTCCTGCAGGTGTGTAGGGCTGCGCTGGTTATTCCATCAGGGTGGCACAGTCTCAAGTAATTGCCACAAATGTCTTTCTCCCTCCCTTTCATGTCTGTGAGTCAAAGGTTGGAGATCTCTACTTGCCAGTTCAAATTGCTTAGCGTAGCTCACGGAGACACCAGCTCAAAATGGGGTTACTCATAAACTCCAGAGGCATTTAAATATTTTATTGGACTTCTAGGCTGCAAAATAGCTTAAGGGGAGAGAAATTAATATGTTCTCTGAAACAAGCACTAGGAAGGGCTTGATGAGTTCATCCTTGCTTTGATCACAAGCTTGAATTTGGGTAATGGTCGTATGTGCCAGGATAATCCTAGACTGACCAAAATAGGAGACCAAAGCTGAGATTACGGCCATTTGCTCTTCAGGAGAGGCACATGCTGTGTGACTGGGCTGGGGATCATAACAGCGGTTTTCAAAAGCAGCCTGCCACATCCAGCGTGTAATTTACTAAGTTAAAATTCCGGCTGAAAGAGATCCAGGCAGGACTGCTGGATAACCACTTGTGTGTTTTCTAACTGCTGAAAAAAAAGAAAAAAGAGCAAACTGAATGCTAAACTACAGAGTTGTTTTTTGTTTTTTTACACGTGCACTTTGTATTCTGCCAGTCGCTGGCACTGCCATGAAGTCTGTGTGGCCGAGCTAGTGTCAGAACCTGCCTTGTAAAGGAGGTTGGACACAGGGGAGGTCACTGAGAGAAGAAATCAGCTGTAAAGGATGGTTCTGCCTTAGAAGTGAGGAGCCATAAGGTAGAGGAAGCCTCCCCATCAGTGTGCATTTGGCGTTTTATTTGACTTTTAACTTGGAGCAGTGCAGCAGAGTTGGGTCAATTGTTGTCCAAGGAAGCCCTGCGTGCAGTAAGGGACACGTTTTGGTGATGGGACTCAGGTCAGGCTGATGGTTGAGCTTGATTATCTTGGAGGTGCTCTGCATCCTAAATCATTCTGTGATCTTGCACATGAAAATTAGAAGGCTGGACTTGCAATTAACCACTAGACTAGGGACAGGGCTGGTTTCTGTTCCCACTCTGCCAGAGACGCAGTGTGATTCTAGACGGGTTGGTTTTCTCTCTCCCATCTCTCGTCTCAACCTTTCTCTCTCTAATATGGGACATTAACTTGCCTCTCATGGAGAAACAACGTTTAAATATTTGTATAGTCCTTTGAGAATGAGTAAGGTGTTTTACTTGAGTTATTCAAAGCAGTATTCCACTGTACTCATGGAATGTTGCATCTTGATGAACACCTTTCCCTGTCACTTTGCAGGCTCTTGGCAGGCTTTGTTAACCCCTAATATTTTTTATTTTATTATTATTATTATTTTTTTTTAACACCAATTACTTCTCTGACTCAGTGAAGGCAGAGAATCGAAAGTCTCTTGTAGGGTTTTTGAATTTTAGGCACTGTAAGCCCTTGTTGTGGAACAAGGCAAGGGTGTACAGCAGTGACCCCAGAAGGGGTTGTGCTAAATGCCAGCTGGGCTCAGACTGACTCAGTTCTTTGAAGGAAGAACTTTCAAAAAGCTTTCTTCATAAAGAAAACGGTCCTTTATTTTAGGTTTTATTTCAGTTTGGGGAACTGAGAGTTTTTAAGCCTTGTGTTTTTGTGTTTGAAGTAATTAAATTGTTATGGTTTTCTTATGTTTTCCTTTATCTAGTTAGGAAAACTGCAGCGCAGGTATTTTTTTGCACCAGTGTTCATGTTTGTCTTGGCTTTGTTACTCAATTTGTCTTCTATAAACTTGTTCATAAGCAACAAAATATGGTTTTAATCACTGTAAGAAAGCTATAACCTATAATAATATTCTTTCCCTCTTTTATCATTATATGGTAATTTGCAGGAGAGAGTTCATGTATGCAAATTGTAGGCTTAGCTTAGTGAAGATGACATTGCCATGATCTTAATTGGACATAAATAGAAGGGATGCTTATCTGGAGGAAGGAAAATGAGTACAGATGAAAGAGTAAAGCACCTGCATGGGACCAGGGACTTGGAAAAATGAGCAGAAGAGGGAAGAGCCCATTTTGGAGAGTCTGGGGAAAAATATTGTTTTCTGTGAGCCGATGAGGTTTTAATTGAAGAGTTAGGGAGTTTAATTGGAATGGAAGCTCATGTATTTGTATAGCTCTCAACAGTCACTGTACAAATGCTTAAAAAATAGGGATTATGTAAACCATATTTTTTTAAGGTAAAATTAATTATACACCTGCTTCTTAGTAATTCAAAGTGGTGGCAAAAGGGGGAATGGTTTTGTAAATGGGAAACTCCTGAGTGCTGTGGGAAACCCTACGGGTGGGACTGGTGGGTGCAGTGCCCAGGGTGCCTGCAGCACTGCCATCTGTGACTTCAACGAGGGAAACAAGTGGTGATTCCTCCGCTGTGATCCCAGTCACTCTGTGTGAGGCTCTGCTTACAGCAGCCCCGTAGAAAAAGGCTGGGAGTAGGGCAGCAGTTTTGAGCACCCAGCACCTACACCCTGTGTACTTCAGGTGGGGAAGGCTGCTTTTTACTTCAGCCAGTCTCATCCTCTGGACTGGAGATACTGTGGCCGGAGAATGCTTTTTCAGTTCAATTTCCTTTGAAATAAATGCAGCTTGTGCATTTAAGGCTGGTTCATAACGCACTCTCGCCAGAAGAGACACAGAAGGCCACTGGCATAACAGGGCAGAAACAGAGCCCAGCCCCTTCCTTTCTGCTTTGTGTGCACAATGCTTCCTCTCAAGGCTGAGAGGAGGACTTGGTCCATAGAATTTGTTTCGTTCTTTGTTGCCTCAGAATTAATTTCCATTATTTCTGTTACTTAACTTTGCCATTTATCATTGTTGTGTAACTCTCCTAACATTTAAGAAATAAAGGAGAATATAATAGAGTTTCAAGTTAAGGGTGATTTTATTTCTTGCTCTTTTGAGATGCTGTCTAAGCTATCAGCAGCATTAGCTAATTCTTCCCAACAACACGTTTAATCTCAGAGCATCCTAGTGTTTGACAAAGTGCAGATCTGATACAGTAAGTTATTCCAGTGATTTCAGTACGGTTTCCACATGGGACATCATCATTTGACGTGGTCGTGGGGCCCACGGACAAATTCTAGCTCTCCAAAAGCGTATCATGAACAGTTCTGTGGCTGTAAGTGGAGTTTAAACCATTTATCACGGAGGTGAAGGCTGGCAGCTCCCTCATGGTACATAATTCTGCAGGACCAGAAGGGAAGATAACATATCCTGCTGGAATAGTTAACGGCACAGTTTTATGGTTCTCTCCCAGCCCAAATTCCTCTCCTCGCAGAACTAACACCTTGCGAAGTTCCTGCTGTGCATTCTGTTCTTGGAGGGCTGCCACCCGCTGAGTACAATCCCAGCTGGTGTGACAGAGTTCTTCCAGGGACACCGGTGGAAACAACTTGTATTGCTGCGTGGATGGACAGTGCAGGTGCAAGAATCTGAAGGATCAAAGCAGGATGTGAAACTGAAAAGTGGCAAATGAAGATTATTGCCCAGATTGGCTCTAGTTAAAGTATTATCTTCTCTCATACCTCGCTGGAATCATTCTACAGCCAGCCTCACGCCATTTCATAGCATCTCTTCACTGGGGTGAATCACGCTGCGATGGCTCCTTGTGCTTTCTCAGATAACTTGCGGGGAGAAAGAACAAAAAAAAAATCTAAAATAAAATAGAATCTCTAAAAAAATCCCACAACCAAACAGGTTAAAAGGGTTGAGAGCTGAAAACAATGAGAAGAGGATGGGGAATAGTTCCTCCTGCTTGGGCTATTCAGGTGCTGAGAATGAATGACAAGAATTCTTGAGCAGGTGGAGTCCGGAGCCACGTACAATACAGATCTCATCCAAACGACCCTTCCTGGGACTGTTGTGGGACTTCAGTGCTCATGGTTATAACCTGTATGTCAGATTCTTGACTGTGAGGGGAAGACAAGTGAGAGCTCCTGAAAAAAAAAAAAAAAAAAGATACTTTGGGCAGAGTGAGATCATCCTGGAACTGGTGCCAGTCCCACTGGGAACATCTGACTCAACAGCATTTTTCTAAGATTTAAATTTACTTTTTTTTTTTTTTTTTCTTAAACACCACAGTTGAAGTAGAACACCGTGCCACAAAAAAAAAAAAAAAAAATCAAATTATCCTCTCAGAGAAAAAGGCAAAAAAGGCAGCTGCAATTAATCAATTATCATGAAGAGTAAGGGCTTAGTGCACAGCCCTGGCTGCTCCTGGGTGTCACTAATGCTCAGAGCCCTGTTGTTCCTTTCTACTGGGACACTGGGTCTCTGCTGGCCGGCTCCAGGCCAGGCACTGTTGGGTATTTTGTTGCTGGGGCATCTTTTTATGTTTCTCTCTCTGTAGGCAATGGGGCTGATTTTCCAGGAAAGCAGCTGGGAACAAGGCAAGGCTCATTTAGCGACCGCAGGGCCTGCTCTGCAGACCACTGAAATTAAATATTTTCATTGTCTTCAACTTGTCTGAAATGAAATCCAGATTGTCCCCATTTCCTTTCTGCCTCCCAGTCTGGGGAGAGCCATACCAGTGGAAAGGGACTTGCTAGGCATTAACAGAACACATTTCTGAGGGGAAGAAGAAACACTGGGGACCTGAGAGAAATAGGATAATGGTCTGAGTAGCATTCCTAAGCAAAAATCTCCATTGTTCCTTAGAGATCAAGTTTCTAAACACGTGTTGCCCTCTGCGCATCAGCTGCTCTGAAGACAAGTGTTGCAGGAAAAAATCCTTCTTTTTTAATGAAATAATAATAATAAGAGGCACTGCAGCTGCTAAGAAGAGGTAGGAGAACCAGAAAAGGGACAAGGAAAGAAAACATTGAGTCATGATGAGCAGGAGCTGGGGTCAACCCTTAAACACATCGATGAGATGTGCTCTGCATGAAAACATGTGGAAGTGCTTGGGGCTGACGAAAGGGAACGTGTGCAGTAGTGACCGAATCTGCAGGATTGCAACTAGGAAGCCTCCAGAGAAGGTGTGGGAGCGCTGAGATTTCTAACCCGTGGTGTTTCGTGAATGTGGTTCAGCAACACCCTTGGGTCTCGCATGGAAGGCATCGCTTCTTCCCTTTGCAGTCACAGCTTTTTGTGCAGCCACCAGAGGGTTTCATGAAAATTTCCCTCTGAAGCCCCAACCCGCAGCAAACATGATGGTGAAGGAGACTGCTATCAAAAGCAGCCGGCTGTCACTCAGTCCTTTGATGTGCTCAATCTGTTGCGTTTTGCAATAACCTTTCACATCTCTGTAGCCTCATCCCCACTGGTGTGATTGTTGCCTTAAAGTTGTGTTCCGAGACAAAAGCAGTAACACTTCTGCAGCAAGAGTAGGGAAGGATTTATAAGCCAGGCTGATGCTGTTCTGCGTGAGCACCTGATTTTCACTTGAGTTTTGCTGTTCCTGGGAGACCTTGAACAGACAGGAACATAATTAATTTGGTCTGCTAATTCTTCCTCCTCTACAGTCCATCCTAAAGCAACTGAGATGCGTCAGACCTTCAGTAGCTGCATAATTGAACAGTCGTCGATAGACCCAAGTTGGATGAAAAAGAAGGACTGGAACTGGAGGAGATGCTCTTCGTTCCTATGAATCCCAAAAGTTCTGTGCATCTGCTAACAATGTTGGTTCCCATTCCAACCTTGTTTCTTTTTAGCCATCCCTGTAGAGCACCAACACAAATGTTGTCCTCTGTTCTTCCTCTCTCTTCCTCTCTCCTAACTGCACTGTTCCTCATTCCTACAGACCTGGAGGGCAACATCCCTCTGTAACATGCTCGTTCCTTAGTAAAAGGAGTTCTTGGAAATGCTGCTGAAAATACTCACTGTCATTTCACTCCCTGCTGTATTTATATTTGAATCCAGTGACAAGGAAAGCCCCGGGGAACTTTGCCCAGGAGAGGAGGCTAGAGCAGATGCGGAACTGCAAGTCTTTTGCCTCCCTCTAGCGGTTCGTGTCTTTATTTGCTGGTAAACTGCATCAGGACCAAGCCCTGCGGTGACCTGACTGTGCCCAAGGTCTGCAGCACAGACCCTGTGCGAGTGGGCATAGTGAGGTGGAATCCCTACCTCCAAAATGAAGAGTAGCTGCATAACTTGCCTGGTAAAATATGCTGAAAGTCTTCGTATAAGTGCTCGGTGTTTACACAGGGAAATTTAGGATCTCTGAAGAGAGGAACTGTTGGCAAACAGTTCCTGTCTGGTTGATTCAGACAGCAACGCACCCCTTCAGTAAGTTCAAAATCCATTTCCCCTTTTATTTTTAAACAGCGGTGACTTTGGAGAAATTACTGGGGAGATATGAAGATTGATCTTACTGACGGAACTCAGCACTTTGGCAACCAATATTTTGTGTCTCCAGGTCACTGCTGTGATGCCAATCTGGCAGGAATCTTCCCTGGCTAGTGGGTGTCATCGGTTTAGGTCCAGATAAATCCGTCCTGCTGACCTCCTTGCAGGTGCCACCAGTCCCACAGGGAGCGTGGATTGCTGGCAGTAAACGATGGGAAGCTTGCAGTGGTGCTCAGCACGCAGCAACAAAACAGAAATCTTCATTTTCCAGGGCTGTCTATCCAAATCGACATGACATTACAAATACTGTCTTGCAGGTGGTTAAAAAATACCCATGAAATCTCAGAGTGGCTCCAAGTCACAGCTTTGGCGAGTGTCGGAGTGCTCAGAGCTTTGCTTTTCTTTCTGCCCTATCTCTTTAAACAAATACTCATTTGCCAAGCACCCAGAGTGTGATGAGCTTTTTGAATTCACTGAGACAAGCAGCCACCATCGCTATAATTCAAAGGACAGCTTTTTAAAAAGGCTTGGTTATTCTCTGTGTGGTAATGAAGTGCACTGCTATATAAATGAAGAAAAGGGCGAGCAGCTTTTATGCCTCAGGACACTATCTGCTCCCTGCAGGGGTCAGCAAGACTATTTGCTCTGTCACGGAGAGCACAGCAGTAATAGCAAGAGATTTTCTGCCTTATATTTATTTTCCACTGAAGTGTTAAGCACTAAACTCTGCAAGAAGCAAGATATTAGCCCTGATGGACCGGTGGTTTGCTAAGGTGGTGTATTCTGCATTCCTATGTACACTCTTTAATTGGATTAGCTTGTGGTTTGACTGTAACATGAAAGTAGGTTATCTTGTCTGTGCTTTATGGGGACCTGGAAAGCTTTTTGTGAGTCATAGATTCAGCCTCATCATGGCTGTTCCAAGGTAGTCATCTGACAATTATCCGACTCATTATATTTTCAGTTGTCAAAAGTGAAAGCAAAGCCAACAGAGCAAGAGGAGAGCTCTTTGCAGCTTTAGTCTGTGTGTGGATACCACCTGGATCTCTGAGGAATTCAGGAGGTCATTAAGTATGAACTGAAAAGACCAAAGGGTTGGATGTTAATACTTTGCCTAGGTTTTGTATAGCAAAAACTACATAAAGCAAAGTATCTCAGAAAATATAGCTTGTACCAGAGCTGTCGTGTAGTCCTGCCAAAGGGAGCCTTTCCCATTCTTGCTCAGAGACTCATGTGTGGTAAAAGTTGTCCATTCCTGACTTGAGAGAGTACCAAATTACTAGTTACACGAAGATTAAGGCCATAGCTTTACCTTGCTGTTTATCATACCTTGTTTGATGATCATACAGGCATTTAAGTCCAGCAGGGATGAGCACGAATGTCAGCAAATAAACAAATCACTAGAGTAGAAGAAGCCCAGTGACTGCAATTTTGTAATTGCTGTACCAGAAATGATGGCAGGTAGCTGATGTTTTGGTTTCTCAGTATTATTAAATCTCATTGAGTTGTGGATTAACCATTGCCTTTGGTAGAGAGGCTCCCAGATCTGGTTCTGCAGGGGAGAGTTTGGTTCTGG